CAACATTGTCCACTGTCCTGCTTGCTACCAGATCGCCCTTTGATAAGGTCGAAGGTTGAAGCCCCTTGACGACGATCACACCAATTGGGCCCGGCATCGTGAGCTTGAGATAGTTATGGTGGGAGATGGCTTCGAACTTGTTCAAGGTTGCACGACTGAAGATGGCATTGTAATTGTATGGGATGTCGACGATGTCGAACAGTATCTGCTCTTCGCGCCTGTTTTCACTTATGCCGAAAGCTACCACCAGTTGTACTTGGCCCAATACCTGAACTACTTCGCCGCCAAAACCACGAAGCAAGGCTGGAGCCTGGGTGAGGGCTAGGGTTGGCAACCCCATCTTGGCATATGCTTCGGCAAAGATGACATCGGCCAAACTCCCCCCGTCAACCAGGATTCGCCGGACTTCGAAGCCAGCTACCTCGGCCGAGATCACCAAGGGGTCTTGATGTGGGAACAGCACCCCTTCGGCATCCTCTGGCTCGAAAGAGATCTGCTAGTTCAGGTATCGCGGGGCCCCTTCGCCTGCCGAAGTGATGTTGTGCACCATCCACTGTTGCATCTTCTTTTGCCGTTTTGACAGCTGATTCGGCGGGTCGGTCCTTGTAATCACTTGGATTACTCTGCGCTGCCCATCCTGGCGGTGTTCGGCCGGTGGCGCTTGCTCTTGAATAGCTTCGCGAGGTGGTTCGGTGGCTTGTCCTTGTGGTGGCTTTGGATCTTGCACGTTGCCACGCTGCCGAATGTTTCGACATTGCTCGGTGGTGTGCGAAGAGCGCCCGTGAAAAGCGCAGTAGAGGTCTTTTCAGACCTTCTTGCGAACGGGCTGTTGATGGCTGCTTGCTTGTTGGGCGTCGAACTCCTTGCGGAGGGCTTGAACTTCTTCGACAGCCATCACCGCCTTGCCTGCACGGTCAGTTCTGAATTTCCTCCAAGTCATAGGAGCTTGGCCTAGTCTTGGCGGTTGTCCTTGGACCGGTGGTTGAGACTGGCGAACAGCGAGAGGAGCCGGTTCGGATACTTGCGCTTGTACTTGGGCTTGGACAGCGGCGACTGAGGCCTTGTCGTACTCGACTTGGATCACTTGCCGTCGCTTGGAATCCTCTTCGCCCCTCGCGTATCCGTCAATGATGCGGAGCAGGTGCTCGAGTGTCTGTGGCTCCTTGTTGGTGATTTTTCTTGTGAGTTCGCCCTCGAGCAGTCCGGCCGAAGCAGCGTTGATGACGGATGCCTCAGTGATGTCCTGCACTTGGCATCATGCTTGCGAGAAGTGACGCATGTAGTCCCTTATCGACTCCCCCGGTCTCTGGCGAATGCCGAGTAGATGTTGCTGTGTCTTCGGCTCCTCATAGGTGCCTCGAAAATTAAGGACAAAGACATCGCGCAATTGCTCCCATGAGTAAATGTTGTTAGCTAGTAAATTGAAGTACCAAGAACGGGCAATGCTGTCAAGAGCGAGATGTATTACCTTCGCCTTGGTATTCTCGTCGCCATGAGCGGCTTCGATCGCGGACTCGTAGATGGATAGGAACTCTTTTGTGTCAGTTTCGCCTGAATAGCGTGGGACGGGTAGGAACTTGAACTGGGGTGGGATTGGACGGATCTTGATTCCCCCACTCAGTGGTAGCCCCTTTTCGCCCCTGCCCTGTTCACGGCACCTTGTTGCGGATATGGCGTGGCGAAAGGCGAGGTAACGGCTTGCGCGTAAGGTTGGGCCACAGTGTTCGGCTGCGCGGTTCCAATTGGTGGTGCTTGATGAGCCGCCATGGATGAGTCGAACGTTGGCTGGGGCCACGCCATGGCGGCCTGGTTTGGTGCTTGGTTCGCCCCGAAGCCTGGCGTTGGTGCTTGCGGCCGAACAGCTGGTGCCTGAGCAGCATTGATGAAGTCGAACTGCGGTCCCTGACTCCAAGGCGAAGCCCCCAGACCTGGCTGATTCGACGGCAACCAACTGGGCGCACCCTGACTTGTGTTCTGGGTTGGCTAAGTTGCTGAAGGAAAGCTTGAAGCTGTGCCTGCCGAGTCGAAGCCCCTTTTGCCATTGCTTGTGACACTTGGCCGGGCAGTTGTGGGTGTACTTGAACAGTGACCGGCTGAGCTTGCGGCTGCCCGCGAGGGGCCGGATGTACCGCTGCGATCGAAGGCTGCCCGACGAAGTATGCTGGCACTTGCGTGGCTTGTGGGTAGACTTGGGGTGGGACATAGCCTGCCGAATACTGGAGGATTGGGGCCGAAGCGGCCTTGGCCCGCCTCGCTGCCTCGTACGCCTGTTGCTGTTCTTGCATCTGTCGAAGCATGCCTTGGAGTCGTGTCATATTCTGTCGCATGGCTTCCATGTCGGCTTCGGCTTGTGTTTCGGGGTCAGGGTTTACTTGTGCGGCGACGAGCGCAGTCGAGACCATTGCCGGTTGTGATGGAGCGGCTTGGGGCGCCAGCAGATGGCTTGTCGAAAGGATCTCCGCCCTGGTTTGGAGTGCCCTTGCTGCTGCAGCCGCCTTCATCGTGTCAGGCGTGTTCGGCACCTGCCCCAGCGAGGCGATAGGAGCCGAAGACGGCAGCAGTGGCGCGGGTGCTGAAGCTGGTGGCGCTCCGCCATCCTCGGCGACGGGCGCCGAAGGCTCTACACCCTCTTCGGTGGCCATCTCTCCCCCAGCTTCGCTTTCCTTTCACCTTGTAACCTTCTCCTTCACGACCCTCTTTGGTGGGCATTCGCTCTCAGTAGTTTCGCTTGGAGGTCCCCATGGTCGGCGCCAGCTGTTGTCGAAATGACAACTGCATACGTCGAAGGACGTGGTTACTCAACGATGGTTGGAAAACAGTAAAGTGTATTAGATTGAGAATTTTTCTTAGGATCCCCTTTACATGGCCCTAGGGGTCTATTTATATCCTTGTTACAGGCCCCCCTATTAGGGTTTAGGTTTTACAGGGGAATTTATATGGTTGCCCTTGTGAAAGGGACATTTACATGGGTATACAGTGTCATTGGCATACATGGGCCTCTAATGGGCCTGGTTGGCGAATGCCGGCCCAAAGGCCGGCCAAAGCGGCCAGGATGGCGAAGTCACCCTCCTTTGGCGGGCACCCTTCGCCCAGGATGTACAGTCTTCGCCATGGGGCTCCATCTTTTGCCGTCCTCGCTCCATTGTCTTCGCCATGTGGCTTCACCGCCTTCACCATGGGGCTTTGCCCCGATGAACTTAACACCTTGAGCCTGAATCCTGACTGGTCGCACGGTTTCGGCAGATCTGGTCGAAGGGTCTCATGAGATACTGCCAACATAGAGTATGGGGATCATTGGAGCTATGGTATACGCAAGATTGAAGTAAAAGAGACGAGAGACAATGATTTTTATACAGATTCGGGCACACATGTAATAGCCCTACTCCTGTTGGCCAAGGCGGTGTTGCATTTATATATGAAAACCACGTGATTACGATAAATTGTATATAAAATATTGCGTACCTATGTAGATATATCTCGCATATATCTACGAAATTAGTAGATTGATTTGAGAAATTAATCTACCAATTGTCTGTTTTAATACATACTTGTGTCTGTTTCCTGGTTGATGTTTGTGTACGCATAACAAGATCATGTATAAATTTCTCTCATATTTCAACGAATACTGTATACAAACTTTGTATATAATTCCCTCATATTTCAATGAATATTTGTCCATAATAATTTATCTCATATGATAATCAATATTACTTTGACCCAAGGGTAAAAGAGTCATTTTAAGTCTCCTATCATACTTGCAAAGCTGACATGGCGTTCTAATTAGGTAAAATTGGTAATTCATAAATATTAGCTCTCTCTCCTTGTGGCATTTCTGTAAAGAAATTTGGAAGAGTGGCATCTCAAGAGTGTCACTTTGTAAGAGTGGCAAATAGTTAAACCCACCTCGCGCCGCCCTATCGCCGCACCTCCTCCCATGCCATCCAACCATCATCCCCATTCATGCCTCTCCATCGCCACCCTACTGCTCGCGTTCGCTGGTTGCCTCTCCGCCGCCCCTCCCCTTGCGTCGTCCGTCGCTGCACCTCCTCCCGCGCCATCCAGCCACCGCCCATTGCTCGCGCCTCTGTCGCCACACTGCTGCTCACGCTCACTAGCCCGCCTCTACGTCACACCGCCACACAACCAAGGGCATTTTGGTCATCAAAGATGGAGGAAAGGGACAACTATTTTAATTGAAAGAAAATGACATTTGGGCGGAGCCCCCAGTTGAGAGTGACATTCTGGCGAATTTCAATTGTGGAGTGGTATTTTAGCAAAGCACCCATTTGAGAATGGTAGAATGTCAATTTTCTTGCTCAACATTGACAACCCATCATTTAGGATTTAGCTTATAAGCTTTATGGTTTTTTTCGTTGTATTTTATTTTTAAGTATTTGTTCTTAAATCGGTGTGTGTGTGTGGGCACACGCATGTGAGCGGAGCTCAACTTGGCACAATGGCGGCCAAGGTCGAGGCGAAGATGGTGGTGGTGGGTCTGGTGACCTCTTGTCAAGCGCATGCCCCCGCAAACCGCCACCGCCGAGGGCGGCATGGAGAGGCACGGCGAACAACGAGGAAAGGAGCAGCGCGACGAGCGGAAGCTGCAGTCCAACCTCGACACGCTGGTGCTCACCCCGTAGTCGGAGCAAGAAAAAAGAGGAAATGGGAGGAGATAGAGAATTGATGCGATGAGGTGAAGGAAATGGGCCCACTGATGTGGATCCCATTATTTTTTAATCTTATTATTTAACTAGCGTATGGGCCCACATATTTTGTTTTATTTTTTAAATTGTTGAATTTTGCTTAATGTGACACGTCGATGCCACGCCAGATAAAGACCAAATCAAATTAGCCACGTAGACATCACGTTAGTTGAAACCGTTGTTCAAACCACCTTAAAATCTATATTGCACTGGTTTTAACATATCGGGTGTATCGGTTCAAGACGAAAATCGAAGTAGCTGTCAAAGTTAAGGGTCATAAAATGAATTTATTCCATTCTTCTACTCGTCCATAACTCCACTGAGAGCGGGGCGAGCAGGCGGAGAGGCTAGGCCACACGATTCTCCTCTCGCTTTTAGCTTCCAACTCCAAGTCTCGCTCTCGCTTTTAGCTTCCAACTCCAAGCCTTTCTCCTCTCGCTTTTAGCTTCCAACTTGGTCAGGAACTAGGGTTTGTGTGATCTTCTGTCCAAGTCTCGCCGTGGTCAGGAGCTAGGGTTTGCGTGATCTTCGGGGGAGGAGGGGGCAAGAGAGAGTTTGAGGAAGAGGAGGAGAAGATGATCGAGGACCGGTGGATCCTCTCTTGTGGCATGCCATGGCGCTGGCCATAGCTACGGTGCGACTCCCCTACATACCCATGTCGTAGTGTAATATAGGTCTAGGCCCTTAGCAAATCCTGGGCCGAGGTAGCAAAGCTTGAGGGGGAGGGAAGCGGCCCTCCGGGCTGCTCAGACCCCCCCCCCCCCCCCCGGGCGTCACTTGTGATACAATGATACGCAAGCCTTGAGCGTATTCTCGAAAAAAAAAAAGTTAACAAAACGACTTGGGTCACCTCGCAAGAAATTTTAGATTGTGCCTAGTTTTCACTAAGGCAGAACTCATATAGTGGCAGAAAAGCATTACATCAAACAAGAGAACATTACAACAGAGTACTGTTTGGAAATCTAACCCAGTAAAATCATAGGTACAGCTCCAAAACAATCTGACATCAGTAAACTGCATTCAACCCACATTCTGCTTAGAAATCCATCTTCAACCGCCTCATATTTCTGTCGAAGAAATATCATCTCCAACTTGCATGCAAAAGCAAAACTCAAGAACAGTTCCCAATACCTGTTGCACAAATTGCTCAAGAAACACTTAAAGCATCTCCTGCCCTCTCCTTCTCTTGATCACTACAAAAGGTCAAGGTCACATAAGTTGCAAAATAAAAAAGGAAGGAGCACACTCAGTAAGCAACAAACCAAATGTCATGCCACTAGTACACTGTTATGAATGTCCTGCACTTCAAACAAAAATCTGCACTCCACGGCATTTTGTTCATAATCAAACAAATAAAGAATTGGGATAATCATGGAGGCAATATCAACCTACGCATTTGTTTCTTGTAACCGAAGAACAAGTTTACAGAAATCACAAAAGTCATGAATATTCTTGTGAGCATCTGCCTACAAAATTGAATACTACTTGATCAGTAACTCTCATGTATTGCATCAAGTTAAGAATATGCCAAGTTTGACATGTTTTATAGTGGAGTTGCTAGCTACAGCAGATAATTTACTGTATAACTAGCACATGTACAGATATACAGGTTAATATTACTGAAACTGAAAGTAACCCCACAGGGGCACTACCAATTGTCATGCCCTTTAGCCCTTACAATATTTCTCATAAATCCTCTAAAAGAAGATGATCAATACACTGCTCTAGTCTAGGCCACTACATTTGTAAAGTTCTGTACATGTGCATCTGAAAAACATACATAGCAACATACCGAACTTATACGAATTCAAGAAATAATCTGAACTAGTCGGACCAAATATTTCTGAACATTTCAGAAATAATCTGTACAAATATTTCCGAACATATTTGAACATTTCAGAACTAATCTAAACAAATATTTCTGAACATTTCTGAATTGCTAGCTAGCACAACATTGCTAAACATTTCTAAACCAATCTAAACAAATACAATTTTCTTTGATGCAGAACAAAGCCAAGCAGGAGTTCAGCACATATGCGGTATGGTCAAGCTTAGCATTGGCTACATGATGATTATCAATTCCTTTAATTACCATGAATTGTTCATGTAGACCCCCCAAGCCCCGCTATCTAGTAGCATAAACAGTGTTGTTTACTCTGGAAAAATATAAAGTTCATTCCTTCCTAAGTTCCAATGAGAACTTCAGCCCTACAAGTGTCTTCAGAACAGAGAACAGCATGATTCATGATCCTCCTATAGTTTAGTCTATCTAGGTACTCTGGTGAATCCTGAAACATTTCGAACAGTCAAACATGCATGGTTGCTGCAATTTTTGAGATACAGCCATCAAAATGTAATCATCTCACTTAGTTTTCATAAAGAACTAGTAACCGTAGACTATGCTTCCAAAAGAGATCAAACCTTGCTCATTGGTGATAATGTTAGCGATATTCCTCCAAAATGACCAGCAACGATTCGGCAATGAGCTACTGTATGTCCAGTGTCCAGAGATGCTTCAGTAGTTCAGTGATTCAGTCACTCCAGTCCAATGTGTCCAGAGATGCTTCAGTAGTTCAGTGATTCAGTCACTCCAGTCCAATGTGTTCCTCTTCATCTCCTCCTCCCTCTTAATATCCTTCTTCTTCCTCATCTTCACCCTCGGTTTCATCGGCCGATGCTGCAAATGCTCAGCCTGGAAGGCAACCATCGCCCTGAGCACCCCCACCATCGTCTCCTCGATCTCTTCTCCCCTCCCCTCCGGCTCCAGCAGCCGCAGAGCCCTCGCGACGGCCTCCATAGTGCTCACGCACCCCTTGTGCGGCTCCTTCTTCACCACAAGCTCCCCCTCGAACATGCTGTCGCCGTCAACGCCGCAGTCGACGGGCAGCGAGACGGGGACGGCGAAGGAGGACAGGAACGGGAGGCTAGCGGCGTGCATCTCCTTGGCCTGCTTCCATGTCCCATCGAGCAGTAGCAGTGTCGGGTTGGCGCGCGCGGGCGGAGGCGTGGATCGGCACCAGGAAGCGAGGTCGGCGGCGTCCGGCGAAGGGAAGAGCAGGAGGACGGGAGAGCGAGAGATGACGGGGGCGGAGGAAGGGAGGAGGCGGCGGCCGGGGATGAGGCGGAGGTTGGAGAGGGAGCGGGCGAGGAGGGGGAGGGTGGAGAGCGGGTTGCGGCGGAGGGCGTGCGGGTGGTGGAGGATGACGACGGTGGTGGAGGTGGGGAGCGGCGTGGCGGGAAGGTACGGGCAGAGGCAGACGGTGGTTGGGCGGCCGCAGCCGGAGCTGCAGACGGCGCGACCGGGAGGAGTCTCGTCGGCGGTGGCGTCGCCGGCGGCTGAGGGGAGTGGCTCGAAGTCCATCACGATTTTGGCCAGTAAAAGCTCAGCACTTTCCCATGTTTATTAATCTTGGCCCATTTCACTGCTATGGGTTATATAGGCTTGGGCCGAGGTTACACTGGTACACAATTTTCCCTTGTATTTTTCATCACAAATAAAGGTTTAAAAGAAAGGTTTAGTGTGTTAAGAATCCAAAAATAAACAACATGCTGGTTCTTTGAATTTAACGAACAAACGAAATTAAATTCTCACAGAAAAGAGAGTTATTTTCATATATTGTTCTTCTGTTGGCAGAGCAGGTAGAAATGGCTTACCCTTAGCCAATCCGAGATACAGGGCCCACGGAAGCAATGAGAGCAGGACATCCTCGTTAGCTTCTCTCCCACCTCAAAGACCTCCAGTTAAACAGCGCATGCAATTGAGCTCCTTTGCCTCGCTCGCCCAAGCCTCCTGCAGCTCGGCCATGGCCGTGCTCGACGCGGGCACAGCACCGAACCCACTGTTCCTGTACGCGGGGACATCACTGAAACTACCATTCCTGTACGCCATCATAGTAGGTTGTATGGTGGTGGTGGTGGTGGCGGCGGCGATGGCACCGTGACTATTCATACCAAAGTGAAGCTACCGGTTCAAGAGCCTATCTAAATACATAACCCCGTCACACCATTCGATCACCATCCCATTCTTATGGTAGGTGTTATCCACCGAATAGCTTTCCACCTCTTCTTCATGCCCATCTTTGCGCATCGCCCATAAATATGGCATATCATCTCAATTGTTTCTAGGCAAAATTTGCTAAGGACACTCAAAAAAATACGTAATTAGCTGTGGAACATTATAAAGATGTGAATTTGCTCGAGAACACTTCAAAATTCTGGTAATTTGCTGCTGGATACTGAACGCATTAAAATATAATATCCACTCAATCAATGAGAGAGAAATCACATAAAATGACAATTTTGCCCTTATCTTTTTTTCCCTTCTTTCAGTTTGTTCCGAGTTCCGATGCTCACATGTAGCAAGCTCTATTGGCTTGCCCATGGTGGACAGGTGCTAGCGCGTAGTCGACGGCGTGGTTGTGTAGCATGCCGTTGGCACCGGCCTCGTCCCCACCCCCAAGCCCCCCGCTGACCGCCCGCGCGTGTCGCCGAGACGTTCCTTGGCGGCGGAGCTCCCATGGATTTCGGCGACAAAAGCAGAGCTAAAAAGTAGTCAGAGAGTAAATGGTACTAATGAACAACTAGATGACCAAAGATTCAAAATTATAGTTGTAAACAGTGGGAGTTGTAAAACAAGAGCTAGTTTCAGAAAACATAAGCTAAGCTTCCATAGAACTCTTTTATATAGTACTGATCTGTGATCACTTGTCACTACACACACCAAGGGAAGGAGAGAAAAAGAAAGATCAGAAGCAGAGACCTATTGCTATGTCGAAGAAGGTAAAATTAAAAGCAGCAAGAAAGCAGAGGAAGGCGGCTGGCTAAGCTTGCTCCAAAAGTTCAGAGATTTGCTGCAAGCCCGTGAGAGCAGGGGGTGTCTCTGGCTAGTAGCCGCCAGCGGCGTTGGCTGCGAGCTTGATGGACGACGGCAGCGGGCTGCACAGCAGCGTGCGCGGCGGTGGCGGCTGCTCCAGACGCCTCCCTGCGACGTCGTAGTAGATCATGCCGGAGAAGTCCAACGACTGGCACTGCTCCTCCATCAGTATCTCCTTCCTCCACACACCGTCCTCCGCGTGGAAGCTTAGCTCCAGCCCGACCTTCCTCCTCCTCCTCGACGACGACGAGATAGCCTTCTTGCTAGCCTTCTTGCTGCCTCCGCCACCTAGGAACGGGCGAAAGGCACGATGGCGCGCGACAAGAAGGACACCGCGATCCCCACCCGTGACCGCAGGTGCAGCCGTCGCGCCGCCCGTGCCGTGGCCCAGGAACCCGGCGGCCGCGCCCCTCCTAGCCTCCGCCTGCCCTGCTGCATGCGGCGTGCCGGCTCTAGGCTCCAAGCAGTCGCCGTCTGCCAATGGGGTGATGGATTGGGGGGAATCAATGGAGGATTCGGTAGAAGAAGATAAGGGTAAAAATGTCATTTTTTATGGTTTCTCTCTCATCAATTGAGTGGATATTATATTTTAATGTGTCTAGTGTCCAGCAGCAAATTACCGGAATTTTGAAGTGTTCTCGGGCAAATTCACATTTTTATGATGTCCCACAGCTAATTACGCATTTTTAAGTGTCCTATAGCAAATTTTGCCTTGTTTCTAACCTTTAGATGATTAATCTATAGCCTAAATAATTTTCTTCATTTTCTTCTCTCATGAAGCCATATCGTCTTACTTTTACTTTTGGATTATCAATCTATATGCTATTTAAATTATCATAAACCACATCAACATAATGGTTTATAACCTTTTTCCAATGATCAATAAAAATACAAATTCTATGGGCTTAAGATGTCTAGCTATGATATTTTTACTGATTCATACTAATAGCAAAGCGCGGAGTTTCATATAGTTATTAGGATGTTAATGAGCATTCCATTTTGTGTAGAAATGGATCATGGGGTAGCATTAAGGAGTACGTTTTTTCTTCTCTGTTTGGTGTCACAAAGGCTATATTTTTTTTTGGCATGGGCTCAGATTTGTCGATTACTTTTTCAAGTGAAGCACAAAATGAAATAAATTTATTTGAATAGTTTTTACTTGATTTTGGTGACAACTAGATGATCAGGACCATTTGATTTTCATCATGGATATTGGGCTGGGGAAAATGATCGACTACTTTTAACCATTTCAGTTATCTGTTTTTCTTTTCAATTTTTCAGGTGTGGGATTCGTAATGGTAAATATTGTTCTCCGTTGCCAATCAACAAAAGATTTCTTGAGCGTTGGCAGAACAGTTCCTCCGTTGCCAATCACTCTAGAAGACACTTTCAGACAATAGTGTAGCTGATGGCTACTACTGCCCCGTTGGCATCGGGAATCGGCAGAGCGGGCAGAGATGGCTGAGCGAGAGCCAATCCAAGATGCAGGTCGCATGGAAGCAATGCGAGCAGGGCATCCTCGTCAGCTTCTCTCCTTGGTCGAAGCCCTCAAAGCACACAGCGCAGTCGCTCTCCCTCGCCTCGCTCACCTGCGCTTCCTGCAGCTCGGCCATGGCCTTGCTTGACGCAGGCACAGAGCCGAACCCACCATTCCTGTACATATCGTCCTCCTCTATGTCAGGAACCTGCTACAGACTACTACTCCAGGAAGAGCAAGACCCACAAGAGGGCCAAAGCCCAATCCTCGTTACCATGGGTCCGAGTGGGTTGCGTAGCCCAGCTATCTGTTGTACAGCTGGCTACTGTGTGTGTCGTGTGAGTAGGGAGATGTCGTGTGAGTAGGGAGATGCTACTGTATAAATAAGATGAACTCGAGGAAGACAACTATGATTTGGCAACTCGGTGGCGGTGGCGGCGGAAGGCTCAATCCTGTTGGGTTGGAGCAGATCAATCCAAACTAGTTGCCTGAATCCTTGTGTGTTCTTGTTTCTCTTGTTAATTTCTTGAGATCCTGACAATCTGGTATCAGAGCCTCTCTTGCTTCTCAAATTCTCTTGATTCTGCGGTGAAATTGTTCCTTGGGGTGGATTGGAGCTGATCTTCGGATCGGCACCGCGAAAAGGAAACTTGCCCCCTAAGGTTCGCGGAATTCGGAGCGAGAGCAGTAGGTACCTGATCCAGATCCGAGGCCATGGAGACTGATAAGAAGTTGGACCTCCTTCTGCAACTTGTGGAAGGGAATGAGAAGAAACGAGTTGAGGCTGATGAGCGCACCAGGGCGGAGTACCAAGATCTCAAGCGTACGGTGGAGTCACGGATTCCTGCCGTGGAGAAGAGGGTGGATGAACTGGGAGCCGCGTTCCAGGAGTTGAATCTCAAGGTGGACAAGCTCGAGAGTAAGATGATGCAAGCTGCCAAGGTGGAGATCGGGACAGGAAGTCAGCTCAAAGAGGAACAAACTAATGGTATGGGTGGGAGCACACAAACCCACCCCTCTGGTATGCAAGACCCAAATTCAACTCCCTCTGCTTTTCATTTCTGTGAATCATTTGCTTAGAAATCTGGTGGCTGTGGTGGTACTATGGAAATTAGTGGTAGTGTTCCCCCAATGATATGCCCACAATTCAGTGGTGATAATCCTCAGATGTGGAAGGCCAACTGTGAACAGTACTTTGATGTATATGGAATTCATCCAGCAAATTGGGTTAAAATTGCCACCCTGAATTTCTCGGGAAATGCTGCATTTTGGTTACAGTCAGTGAGGTCTCAGATGGCAGGAATTTCTTGGTATGGGTTGTGTGAAGCTGTTTGTGCTAGATTCGCTAAGGACAAGCATCAGGCCCTCATTAGACAATGGATTCACTTAAATCAGACTGGTACTGTAGCTGAGTATGTGGAGAAGTTTGATGGTTTAATGCACCAACTGATGGCATATGACTCCTCCCTGATTCCAGTATACTTTATTACCAAGTTCGTTGAAGGGCTCAGAGATGAAATTAGGGTGGTGGTAATGGTCCAAAGACCCCAGGATCTTGATACAGCTTGTGCTATTGCTCTGTTGCAGGAAGAGGCAATTGAAGGGATTAAATCACCAGCTCCTAAAAGATCAGACTCAGTACTTGGAATTAAGGGCAGTAGACCCATCAGTAATTACAGTAATCCGCTCAATACAAAGTCCAGCAATACCAGTGCTGAAGACAGGAGAGGTATAGAGGCAGCTAGAGCCAGAGATGAAAAATTGGCTGCTCTGAGGTCCTATAGAAGAGCTAAGGGTCTGTGCTTTACATGTGGAGAAAGATGGGGCAAGGAACATAAATGTGCCAGTTCTATACAGTTACATGTGGTGGAGGAATTATTGGAAGCTCTAACTGTTAATTCAGAAGCTGACCCTGATTCCAGTCCTGAAGATAGTGAGATCCAACAGCAGGGAGTCTTACTGGCCATTTCACAGCAAGCAGTTTGGGGAACTGAGTCCACAAGATCTATCAAACTCAGGGGTTGGGTTCAGGATATGGAATTACTAATGTTGGTGGACTCTGGTAGCACACACTCATTTATTGATAAGGAAGTAGGTCTGAAGTTATCAGGAATTCAGAAACTAAAACAACCTCTCATTGTTAGGATTGCTGATGGAGGAACTATGAGTTGCACACATGAAATTACTAACTGCAAATGGTGGATGCAGGGGTATCAGTTCTGCAACAATTTCAGAATGTTGCCCTTGGGAAACTATGATATCATCCTTGGAATGGATTGGCTTGAATCTATCAGCCCTATGCAGGTTGATTGGGCAAACAAGTGGATGGAATTCAATCATCAAGGTGCCAGCATCAGGGTACAAGGACTGCTGTCCACTCCTGTGCAATGTTCACCTGTTACATGCCATCAATTGAATGGAATGAGTAGAAGGGGATCACTCAGTTACCTGGTTCAACTGCAGCCTATAACTAGACAGGAAGATATTAACATTCCAGACCAGGTACAACACATTATTCAGGATTATAAGGAGATTTTTCAGGAACCTGAGGGATTACCACCAAGGAGAACATGTGACCATATAATTACCCTTGTCCCAGGAGCTAAACCAATCAACCTCAGACCCTATAGACACAACCCAGCTCTCAAGGATGAAATTGAGAAGCAGATTTCTGACATGCTCAGTTCTGGTGTCATACAGCATAGCCAAAGTCCCTTTGCTTCTCCTGCAATACTTGTCAAAAAGAAAAATGGCACATGGAGGTTAGTCATTGATTACAGGCAGCTCAATGCCATAACTGTGAAAACCAAATATCCTGTTCCTGTGATAGAGGAATTACTTGACGAACTCACTGGTGCTCAGTGGTTTACCAAACTAGATCTCTGGTCTGGGTACCACCAAATCAGGATGGCGGCCGGAGAAGAGTACAAAACTGCTTTTCAGACTCACTCAGGACACTATGAGTATAAGGTGATGTCCTTTGGATTGACTGGGGCTCCAGCCACATTTCTCAAAGCTATGAATGACACTCTGAAGTCAGTACTCAGGAAGTTTGTCTTGGTGTTCTTTGATGATATTCTCATCTACAGTAAAGATTTTTCTAGCCACCTGGATCACATCAGACAAGTGCTGCAACTTCTGAAGGAACATCAGTGGAGAGTTAAAATCAGTAAATGTTCATTTGCACAACAGCAGCTATCTTACCTTGGCCATATTATAGGAGTACATGGTGTTTCCACTGATCCCTCTAAAATACAGGATGTATTAGATTGGGCTGTACCTGTGTCAGTTAAGAAATTGAGGGGTTTTCTGGGATTGGCAGGCTATTACAGAAAGTTTGTAAAGAACTTTGGAATCATTAGTAAACCTCTCACACAGATGCTGAGGAAGGGAATCCCATATGTCTGGTCACATGAAGCTGACAAGGCTTTCAACACCCTCAAACAAGCATTAGCCTCAGCTCCAGTTTTTGCCCTTCCAGATTTTCAGAAAACTTTCACAGTGGAGACTGATGCCAGTGAATGTGGGATAGGAGCTGTATTATCTCAAGATAAGCATCCTATAGCTTACATTAGCAGAGCCCTAGGGCCCAGAACTATTGGACTTTCTACATATGAAAAGGAATGTATGGCTATTTTATTGGCAATTGATCATTGGCGATCTTATTTACAGCATGAACAAGCCATATGGGAGGATCTGGAAGATTTGAAGATGCGTTTCCCTGGAGCCTTGGCTTGGGGACAAGCCAAATTTCATGGGGAGGGGATTGTCAGGAACCTGCCTGTCACTATGGGTACTGAAGAAGGAGAACCTGATGAAGCAGAAGCTGAACAGGGAGAGAAGGAACCTGAAGAAGGAGAACCTGATGAAGCAGAAGCTGAAGTCCAGGAGGAGGAGATACAGACTACTACTCCAGGAAGAGCAAGACCCACAAGAGGGCCAAAGCCCAATCCTCGTTACCATGGGTCCGAGTGGGTTGCGTAGCCCAGCTATCTGTTGTACAGCTGGCTACTGTGTGTGTCGTGTGAGTAGGGAGATGCTACTGTATAAATAAGATGAACTCGAGGAAGACAACTATGATTTGGCATCTCGGTGGCGGTGGCGGCGGAAGGCTCAATCCTGTTGGGTTGGAGCAGATCAATCCAAACTAGTTGCCTGAATCCTTGTGTGTTCTTGTTTCTCTTGTTGATTTCTTGAGATCCTGACAATCTACTACTCCATCCATGGCAGTGCCAGTGCCACGGGGCTGGCGCTGGATATGATCGTGAAGCTGTTGGAAGAAGGCTCTGTCCAATCGTATCACCCCCTCACTGATGGCCTCCCTCACGTCCTCGCGAGTGCTCTCGTGAACTTCTGCGAGCGTTAATGGCGGCGTACTTCTTGGACGAAACATGATGCTGGAGTAGCTACGGCTGCCAACCGTCCAGCTATTATGGAAGAAGCCGTGACGATCGACGTAGCTCTCGATGGGAGGGAAATCCCTTGGTAGCCCTCTTGCGACCGCAGCGGCCTCCTCCATCTGCAGCAGCAACACGCCGCCCTCCCTGCACAAGAGATCGACAAGGGCGGAACGCCGCAGCGGTTGAGTTGGGGGGAATGGATCAGGAGATAAACGCGCCCCTACCTGCAGACTTTATAGATGAAGAAACCGATCGGACTCCGCGTCCCGGCCGATCGGAATCGAGAGAGAATCCGACTCGGATCCACCCCAAATCCCCAATCACACGGATTTACTGGAGTTCTATGGAAAACGGAAAACGGAGCAATGGATTAATGCGGAAAGCCACTGCAAATCGGACGTCCGAATTATGAGAAAAAATCGGACGGCCACTCCTCGGCACGCATCATGCATCCCCAACATGCACCATGTACGTATCACTTTTTATCTATCAGCCTTCATATACACGCATTATTTCTCTCTCATTTATTCTTGTGAATGCAAATATCTTATCGTGTGCATTTTATTAACAAACTATAAATTATTTTTCTTACAAATTATTTATCCGATTTTTAATCTGATTGCCCCATTGAATTCGTTGCAATTAAATCTTTTCAAAGAGATCCCACATAATTATATTTTTAATAAATTATATATTTTTAATTACATTCATAACTGAAACATTTTTATATTATATATGAAAACAATGAGTTGTAACTGCTGAAACACCACAAAATACCTAATGAAACATCAGAAAGTACCTGGTATAACATCAAAATAATACCATGTGAAACACTTTAAAATGACCTAGTAAAATATTAGCTGAAACATCACAAAATACCTCATGTAACATTTAAAGAACACCACGTGCAACATTAAAAAATGATACAGTGAAACATCAATCGAAGACATCACAAAATACCTCTTGAAACATAAAAAAACACCTCGTGCAACATTCCCAAATGACCTATTGAAACGTTATTAAATACCTATTGCAACAACTAAAAAATCCATTACAACAAAAAAACTTTTTTAAAAAATTACCAAAATATAGTTAAGTGAGATCTTGTTATGAAGATTTAATTGCGGTGAATACAATGGTATATTTAGATTACGGATTAGATAAATAATTTGTGAAATAAGATTATTTGGAGTTATTCATTAAGGAGTAGAAGCATGTGTGGTAGTAGAGGCATACGAGAGAGAATATAGACTACTTTATGTCAAAGCGGTAGAGGCATACGAGAGAGAGAATATGGGCTACTTTATGTCAGAGCAGTTACATAGGCTACTTCAAGAGAAAAATGCCTACGCAATATAAATATGAGAGGGAGAATGATGAGGGATTGCGATGGGCACTATTATTAATCTTATTACACGGTTTAAGGACATGCGCGCAGGCATCCGATTTTTTTATGTTCGATCGGACGTCCGGATAGAAGCATTTTTGATTAATGCGTGGATAATTAATTATTAGCTTAAAAACTTTAAAAATGAATTAATATTATTTTTTAAAACAACTTTTCTATAAATTTTTTTTTACAAAACACGCACCGTTTAGCAGTTTGAAAAGCGTGCGCGCGGTAAACGAGAGAGTGAGGTTGGGATCATGGACTTAGGGGCTTTTTGGTTCCCAGCCACACTTTACCATTACTTGCCAACAAAAGTTGCCACATCTTGCCTAAGGTGAGGTGATCAAATTGTTAGCCACAACTTACTAAGCCTAAGAGAATCTTGCCACACTTTTTTGAGCCATTGACACGTGGGACCCAATTTATTGGAGGGGAATCTTGCTACAACTATGGCTACAACCAAACACCTGTCAAATTTGCCTAACCTTAGGCGTGGCAAACTGTGGCAAAGTGTGGCTTGCAACCAAACACACCCTTAAGAACACAACCTAAACCGTCCCCGTGGCGAGCGCTGCAACAGTTGCACCGCTGCTTCATGGGCGCGCCGACTTGCTCCATGGGCAGCGTCGTGTCCCCCCTGGCCCCGCTGCCTGAACGTGGCCGTTCCCCGGCCCGCGCCGCCTCGCGCTTCTGGTGCGAGCGCCTCTCGCAGTCTGTTGGTTCCGACTCGGATCCACCCTAAATCCCCAATCCGACTATGTGCCTTCGCATCCCGTTTGTTTAGCTCATGTGGTGGTTACATGGCGGTGTTACTTGGTCTTCGTTTCACATGACGTTGATGTGACGCTTACGTGGCATTATTAGAATTAAAAAGTATAAACTTCACGTAGGTGCCACATAAGGGAAAGCGCCCTCCAAAACCGCTGAGTGAGTCAAATTACACCAATTTTAATAGTTAGGAGGTTGAGATATCCGGTATTATGGTTGAGAGATACCAATAAGATACGAACAGAGAGTCAAAGTGAACTTATTCCAAGATTTTCGATATTGCAATTTAGGGATTCCATATAAACTCGACGGAAAAATGAGGAACGTCAAGTGAACTTATTCAGAACTGTCTACTATAGTCCATTAAGTAGACAAGGCCCATACAGCCCATCGGCCATCACAATCTAGCAGTGCTACACTGAATTTTTTTCATTTTTAGATTTTTTTTTTAAAAAAAATTACAGAAATAATCTATCGGCCAAAAAAATTGCAAAAATAGACCCTGCCGCCCACCTCTGGGGCGGCAAGCTGATGTGGCGAACGGGGGAGGGACGGACGGTGACGGAGGGAGGGTTTTTTGCAGTAAAGCCCTTGCCGCCCTCTGTTGGGGCAGCAAGGGGCCCGAATGCAAAAAAGCCAGTCGGGGCCGACCATTTTGCAGGCGGCCCCTTGCCGCCCTCTGGTCGGGCGGCAAGCCTCGCTGCCTATAAAAGGCCTGCTGCCCAGCCCCCAGCCCTCATTCCTCCCCCTCAAATCTAGTGAAAAAAAAAGAAGAAAGGGGAGGAGAAGAGAAGAAGGGGCGAAGCCCTGCCGGATTCAGACGCCGATTTCAGGTAATATTCATAGATCCTATATGTGACTATTGAGTTAAATAGTGTGTATTTTTTAAAACTTTGTTTGAATAAATGCATTATATTTTTAGGGTTTTAGTTGTACTAATCTAGAAGTGCGTATTGTAGATATCGGTAACTATGTAGATCTGCTAGTTTGGAATCAATACTTTACCGTTGCATTGGCATACACAAGAAGATATTACGTTGTAGATGTTTATTGCATGAAAGAGTAATATGATCTAGTTATTTCGTTGACAGATATGTCGAACAAACAAATATTCCAAGTTTACCATGGCCCAGGAAACGTCCGTTACGGGCCAACTGGGTAGATCTGTCAGATTTTATTGTATCAGAAAGGGGAATTGATAGACCGGCTGAGGAGAGTGTACCTTCTATAAAAGGATGGTTAATGAGGGGCTTGAGAGTTGATCTACAGACAAGTGACATAACAATCAATGTTATAGTAAGTCGGGCAGCTGAGGGTTTTTATTGGGAACTAATGCCAGTTCAAAACTCTCGAGTGTGGAGATGGTATGTGGAAAATGCATTGCAACGCGGGTGGCCTCTAGCTATGGTTTCGTTTGTTCACCCGAAGGATCCATGTGTGCAGATGAACATGGATGATGGTGAGGGACCAAGTGCTGAAGTAAATGAGACTTCTGTGGAGGAGGTCAACGCACGAGAGGACAGGGGTGTAGTAGCTCCAGTGGGCATTCAACCAGGTGGAGTGGCCGACGAGGGGGAGACTGTCGGTGCCATTGTGGATGAAATGGAGAGGAAGGATTCTGACAACGAGCGTGTAGAGGAAGGTGATTTGTCAGATGATGAGACGGATATTAATCCAACAGAATGGGCTAGTGAGGATTTTTCTGGGCTAGTCGTCTCTGAAGAGGATAGTGTGAGATGGGAGTACAAAGAAAATGAGGTTATTCAGGGAGCGATTTATAGTAGAGCAGAAGATATGAAGGAGGCGGTAAAACATTTTGCAGTGTCACTTCATAGAGAGTTTTGGGTTGCCAAGTCCAACCGGTCGCAATATGAAGTTCGGTGTGTTAAGGAAAAAGATGGTTGTCCCTGGAGAATGCACGCGTACAAGGGGAAATGGAAGGATTATTGAACATTGTCAGTCGTTACCAAGCATACATGTTTTCTACCTAGTGTTCAGAAATACCACAGGAACATTACATGTGCATTTGTTGCATCTGAGATGTATGCGCATGTCATCGATAATCTCACATATAAACCAATGTCAATAATCTGACACATCGAAGAGACATACAAGTATACTATTAGCTATGCCAAGGCCTGGAGGGCCAAACAGAAAATAATAGAGATGAGATTTGGAACTTACGAAGCCTCGTATGACAATTTGCCACGCCTGCTTGGTGTTATCGAGGAAAGAAACCCTGGGAGCTCTTACGAAGTGAAGAAATTCCCCTCAATTGAACATCCTGGCAAGAGTGTGCTGCAAAGGGCGTTCTTAGCTCTACATGCATGCAAGATGGCATTCGTGAACTATCGTCCTGTTCTCTGCATTGATGGGACATTCATGACAGGAAAGTATCGGGGCCAGATACTAACAGCAATAGGGGTAGATGGGAACAATCAGGTATTGCCCTTGGCATTTGCTTTTGTTGAGAGTGAGAATACCGACAGCTGGTATTGGTTCCTGAAATTGGTTAAAACAATAGTTGTTGGTATGAGGCCAAATGTGTGCCTGATACATGATAGGCACGCTGGCATTCTGCGAGCGATAGAAGAGTTGCAGTTTGGGAGTATGGAATGAGGATACCCTGGTGAGTGGGAAGATGTACAGAGCAGGTGGTGCATGCGTCATATGGGAGCTAATTTCTTCAAGCAATTCAAGAACAAGGAGCTTATGAACATGTTTAAGAGGCTATGCAATCAGAACCAGGAGAAAAAATTCAATGAGCTTTGGAAGAGATTCGATGAGTTGACAGCCAAATGCAGTGATCAGCGTGCAGCGGCTCCATCGACCGCCGATGCTGACCCTCCTCAAGCTCTTGGACCTCTCCCAACGGATAGTCCAACATTGGTTAGAAGAACTGGATTGGAGATTCGGAAATTTTTTCAATGGATTCTGCATGAACCAAAAGAGAAATGGGCCAAGGCGTATGACACAGGTGGTGCTAGATATGGAATAATGACAACAAATTTGGCAGAAGTTTACAACTGGGTGTCCGTGGACTGCCACTAGTTGGCATAGTGGAGTTCATTTTACATGGGACATGTAGGTATTTTAGGGATCGGTTCCAGGCAGTTCTTCCCTCTCGTGCTACCCGTGCTGTGCCACCGGATCGTTTCACCTGCTCCCAGGACCACGTGCGAGCACATGCCCGGAGGACCAAGCGTGGTCGCGGCGCGGGGCAGGGCCAGTAGAGCAGTCTTCTCTTTGTTTATTTGCTTCACTTTCCAGTACTGTATGCTTGTGTAATGACTACGTTGTTGTTATATGTCACACCCTGAAGTTCTCCTCCTTAGCCTAAAATCGAATTAATAAGAGACCCTAAGAAAATACCGGTGCAACGCAAGAGTTAACCCTATTAAATCAATGCAAATAATAATCGGAATTGGCATGTGGAATTTTTCTTGAGTTCTACATGTCGAAATTCACTAACAAGATTTTTAGTGGAATTTTTAGAGCTCTCGAAATAATTTTAACCAATTAAAATCGAGCATGCAATATTTTAAATCCCAGGGAAATTCTTTTCCTCCTTTTCTTTTTCCTTTTCCCTCCTTTTCCTCTTCTTGGGCCGTCGGCCCAGTCCACCCCGCCGCGCGCGCGCCCTCCTCCTTGTGGGCCAGCCCAAGCCGCCCCTCCCTCTCTCCTCGGGACGCCGACAGGTGGGCCCCACCTGTCGGGCCCGTCTCCTTCCTTTAGCCGGCGCCGCCGCGCCCGCAACCTCCGCCACGCCCACGCCTCCGCCTTCTCCGGGCCGCGTCGGCCACGCCCGCGCGTGCGCCGCATCTCCCGCACCCACTTCCCCCTCTCTCGCGCTCGCGCCCGCGCCCGAGAAGGCCGGGATTCAATTTTCGAATCCCGCCTCTCTCTCCTCCCCCACTCCCCACGTTGGCCAGCAAAATCTCGCCCCTACCGGCCACGTCCGGGACTCCCCTCCCCTATTTAAGCTTCCCCGTCGCCCCCTCTCGCTTTTTCCCCATCTCGCCGAACTCCCTCGTGCTCCCCATCGCTCCCGCGCCGTGCAACCACCCGTTGCTGCCGTTTCCGCTACTCCCGCCGCCGCTAGCCGCCGCTAGGGTCGCCGCCGCACCGCGCCGTCGCCACCGTCGGGTTTGCGAGGCTAAGCTCCACCCCGGCCACCCCTTCCCCGTCCGGATTCATCGCCGGAATTCGCATCCCCTCGTGCTCCGGTGAGTTCAACCTCTACCGCTGCCTTCGGCCATAAATGCCGGTCGCCGTGGTTCATCTCCCTCCCTCTAATCTCTCTCTTCTCCTTTCTTAGGGCACCCCGAATCCCGTCCGTCGGTTGCCGCCGCCTCCCGTGCCGCCGGTCGCCGCCGCCGTCGGCCGCGTGCGTCGCCGCTAGCCCTGGCCGGCCGGTTGGCTTTGATGCCGAGCCGAGCCCGGCGGCCGCCTTTATCGCCGCCCGTCCGATCGGCCCCGAGGGCGATCTGGGCCATCGGTCCCGTGGACCGGCGGTGGACCACCCGTGTGGTCCCGGTCCACGGTGAACCGCCCCCCCTTGAGTCGCTGACCAGTGGGGCCCGCCTGTCGGCGCCGCGCCTCCCCCCGTGCTGACGTCAGCCCTGGAAAATATTGCGCAATAAATTATTTAAGGATTTTTGTTATAGTAATAAACACAGTGAATCTTCTAAAATTCATAACTAATTCATCCGAGCTCCGTTTAAGCCCATTCAAGTCTCAGTAAATCAAGAAAAATGTGTAGAATCCATTAAAAATGGTTTTGTTCTCTGTTTCAGTAGTCTTATAGCCTGTTTGCATTGTTTGCCTTGTATGTCGCTAGATTCCGGCTCTTCCGACGCTCCGGTGTATTTTGAAATAGTCGCCGAGGTTCCTCCAGCAGCAGAGCAAGGCAAGTCATGCTTGTCACTTGATCATGTTGATCCTATATTGCAAATGTCCTAATGTTTTCTTTCAAATACCGCATTTGTTTTGCAATTATACTATGGGATGATTACCTATTGTTACAGCCATGCTTTTTGGATACCATGCTCCTTTGTTAGCTTGGGTTATAACATGATTAGACTTTGGACTAGGAATTGCTTAGCCATGCTTAGTTCAACTAGCACACAATGGGGAAATCTCATTTAAAACCTAGACTATAGGTTTATATGATAATGTTGGATTAGTACCACCGCTCTGGTGTTGGTTAAATAAAATGAATCACATGGTGGGCTGTGGGTGCATGGTTTTGCTAGTCGCGCCCATGGCAATTAAGGACCGGTTCGCGGGAAACCCTGGAAGAACTTATCGTACTTACCACAAGCCAGCGTGGGCAACGGCTGGGCTTGTAGTGTAGCTTTTCTCTAGCTGACGCATCCAGGCAAGGGTGGGCGTGATGGAGCGGGGCGGGCCCTGCGACGGCCTCTGTCGCTTCCGGATTCATCTAGGCACGAGAGGGGACTGCCCGTTGCCCGCTGGGAACGGGGGTGAAACCTGAGGTGTGGTGTGCTTGGCTAGAGGGGGTTATGCGAAGGGTCCTGTCACGGCCTCTTTCCGGTATGTCGTGGTGGCATGTCGACGCACGGAAACGTGTCGTGGGGCTGTGTCTTGTGGGTACAGTTGTACACCTCTGATCAGAGTAAAACTATTCGAATAGCCGTGCCCGCGGTTATGGGCGGTCAACCAGACTCACCGTGATTAGACTCACCTTAGTTTAGTCTAATGAAATTGGATGGTATAGGTGGATGGTTGGGCCTGTTGCAACGTGGTGTAACGTTGGACAGTGGATGATTAATACTGCTTAATTATTACAACTGTTTTCGCATTCAATTCCTGTTTATAAATGCCAGTATTTATGCAAATGAACCTGTTTAGCTATCCCTTGTTGAATCCCTGCATCATACCCCCCTTTCCGGTATGACTTGCTGAGTACAGTGGATAGTACTCAGCCTTGCTCTATTTTCCCCCAATCCCAGAGCTCGAGTGTGTATCCGATGGCGGGTTCTCCGAGGAGTAGGCTTCGTCCGTGCCGTCGAGGATGCCTGTGGAGTGGTGTTCCCGCTACAGTTCAAGTCAAGGATTAGCTCCGGTTATCTTTTGTTTTTCCGCTGCATTTATGTAAGACTTTTATAATGTTTGTAAGACGTGGATCTGTATGTCAACATTGTCGTTTGTGTACCCCGGCCGGTCCTGGACGGGGGTTTTAATGCACATTCTGCTTGGAATTCTATTCGGGAATTTCTGGGCGTGACATTATATGTGCACGATACCTTTCGGCGCATGCACGACTACTTTCTGCCGCACCGATGCAGCCTCCTTTATTCGCGTGTGATACGAGTATTTGCCCGCCATTTGCCGCATACGACCAATGTAACTTTCGGCGCCGATCAGGCGTACCCACCATGCCCCGCCACGTTCACATGTCAGGGATATCACTCGATTTTTTGCGCCTATATAAGTCGCCTTAACGAGTGAGGCCTCACAGTCCTTCAGAACTCAGTCACATTCAGTACTCTCTTCCCCACTTGCTTCATTACAAATCCTACCGGCTTTCGTCAATGGCTAGACGTCGGGGTGTTGAGGATCCGAACTAGCGTAGCGATCCTTGTGTATACCTACTACCACATTGGTGCCAGCGTCCTCTCTGCCTATGCGGTGATCGATGCCAACTAATGGCTTCGAGGAATCCTGATATTCGAGGAAGACGCTTTTTTAGGTGCCCTAACTATGACCGTGAGGTATTTTATTATCTGCATATGCTTATTCATTCCGTATGGGCAATCGCTTTATTCTTCGTAACACTACTCTATTCGGCAGACCCGCACTACGGCTTGCGCATACATCGAGTGGGTCGATAAAGAAAATCCCGTTTTCGACCTAACCACTTGTTTACAAGAAGGTCACTGGTATTTTGCATCCGAAAGTACTGAGCAATACTTACAGAGAAAAGCGGCTTATGAACGACAATGTCGAGTGTGTATCCGATGGCGGATTCTCCGAGGAGTAGGCTTCGTCCGTGCCGTCGAGGATGCCTGTGGAGTGGTGTTCCCGCTGCAGTTCAAGTCAAGGATTAGCTCCGGTTATCTTTTGTTTTTTCGCTGCATTTATGTAAGACTTTTATAATGTTTGTAAGACGTGGATCTGTATGTCAACATTGTCGTTTGTGTACCCCGGCCGGTCCTGGACGGGGGTTTTAATGCACATTCTGCTTGGAATTCTATTTGGGAATTTCTGGGCGTGACAAGTTGGTATCAGAGCCGACCTTGACCGTAGGACAAGCCAAATGGAAACCTAAGAGCCCTCTGAATCCTTTTCATTGCATAAGTTCTTTGCAATTGGAATTGTTCCGGGAAAATTTGGGATCTGTTCTTGTGGTTCAAGGGAAAAATCGTGTCGCTCGTTTAAGTGAGATTTGTCAAAACAAGTCGGTCTAGGGTTTTAGTAAAAATTATTTGAGATGTTTTTGACCGTCAGTTGGGATTTGATGGGCGAATGCACTAGGTTTTAGCTCAGGAATATGGGTTGTAAGGTATTTATGCTTTTATTGTTATTATAAGTATGTATCTAATTTCCCCATTATTTTACCTCTATGTAAGTCCGTCTTATTTATTCGCTCTCATGCAAAATGATCTATGCATAAAATTTCGCTCTTATTCGATTCTGTTATTTGAGTCCTTTATTGCTTTATTTAATTTGGATTTGAGCATGCATTGATCCTACCCCTTTGTCTTCTCCAGATGGCCGAGCACCCACCCAACCACCACGGAGAAGGCATGGATGACTTCGTGGCAGAGTTGGCACGCATGACACTGGTGGTGGGCTACCCCAACGCACCGGAGTACACGACTATTCCACCGCTCAGTGGCGAGCTTCCTCACCGTGTCCGCTTGGAGGTCCATGGCTACGTGGGGACTTGCCTCGCTAACATGGCGGTTGAGGCGTCAGGAGGCACAGCAGATCACGCATGTCAGGAGGCAGCCTACCTGATGATGGCCAGACTATGGGAGCGCCACAACTACATCTTCCACGACACGGCGTACCGCTTCCACCCTCGTCGAGCCAGCGGCAGCGATGTCAGTTCTTTCCGTCCGACAGCCGGTGAGAACGACACCACCTTCGGTCACATGTGCGCTGTGATGAGGGGGATGGACAGGATGCACTCGGACCTGCACAAGGCGTCCAAGGCCTTGAATGATGGGAAGCTCATGAGGATCGTCGCTCTGAAGGACGAGATAGCGCGCCTGAAGAGGGAGAATGCTCAGTTGAAGGGTCTTCCCGCGCCAAGGGGAGTCCGGATCCGCACTACGCCTCGCAAGTCGACAACGGCACCCGTGCACGTCCAGCTTGCGCCCAGGAACCCACCTCCGTCAGCAGCTCCTCCAGTTCCACCCGCAGCTCCAGCAGTTCCTGCAGCTCCAGCGCCAGCTCCAGCTCCCGTTCCCATGTCAGCTCTAGCATCCGCGCTCTCCTTCGCACCTGCATCAGCCGTCAGGGGCCCCGCCAGTGGCAACGGAGGTTGGTTGCCAGCTACTCCCAGTGGCAGCCGTGACCGCAGCAGCAGCAGCTCCAGTGGCTCAGAGCCAGGCAGCGGCGAGACTTATCTGCCAGGCTCTAGGAGTCGCTCAGAGGGACCTGGTGATGAGCAGGAGGACGCCTTCGACTCCACCGACCGCAGGAGCCGTTCCGAGCATTAGGCTCGTTTTCCATTAGCTTATCGACTGTCTAGTTTCTGCTTGTTAGTTTGTGTGTTTAGGTTGCTTGCTTGGGGTCAGTCGATGGTCGATATCATGTGCCTATGATATGGCTGTCCCAATAAGGATTTTTGCTTGCTGTTTAAAGTGTTTTAATTCAGATCAGAACAATTGCAGTTTAAATTTCTATATAATAAAGCTTAGTTCCTGAGCATCTGTTTTTCTCCGTTTCCCCGTCTGCCCTTCCTCCAGATGGTCTACACCAGAACTGGCACCCGCACGACTGGCGAGGGCAGCAACGGCGAAGAACGCGCTGATGGTGTGCACCCCAACAGTGATTCCGGCAATGGTCCGCCACCACTTCCCGAGAATCCGACACTGGCCCAAGTTATGGCACATCAGACTCAGATGATGGCAGCCATGATGCAGCAAATGCAGCAGCAGCACCAGCAGATGCATCAGAGGATGCTGCAGCATGCCGAACAACAGCACCAGCAGTTTGGTCCCCCTCCCCCTCAGTCCAAGTTGCCAGAGTTTCTACGCGTCAGGCCACCTACCTTCTCCAGCATCACCAACCCCATGGAGGCGAATGACTGGCTCCATGCCATAGAGAAGAAGTTGAATCTCCTGCAGTGCAATGATCAGGAGAAGGTCGCTTTCGCCACACACCAGCTTCAAGGTCCCGCGTCAGCTTGGTGGGACAATCACATGGCCACCCGCCCGCTAGGCACTGAAGTCACTTGGGCGGAGTTCTGTCGTAGCTTCAGGAAGGCGCAGGTGCCAGACGGGGTCGTGGCACAAAAGAAGAGGGAATTCCGGGCACTCCATCAGGGCAACAGGACAGTGACCGAGTATCTTCACGAGTTCAATCGTCTCGCGCGATATGCACTGGAGGATGTCCGCACTGACGCCGAGAAACAGGAAAAGTTCATGGCAGGTCTGGATGACGAGCTGACCAACCAACTGATATCTGGGGACTACGCTGATTTTGAAAGGCTGGTTGACAAGGCAATCCGTCAGGAGGATCAGCGCAACAAAATGGACGGGAAGAGAAAGGCGGCGCAGCTCCGGTCCAACCAAGGTAGTCAGCACCGACCGCGCTTCACTCCCGGATAGCAGGGTGGACCTACCACCATGATCGTCCGCAGCACCGCCCGTTCAACTCAAGCAACTTCCACCAGGGCGCCAGTGGCAGTCAGCACCATGGAGGTCAGCCCAACCGCGGTGCAGCTCCACGCCCACCAATGGCACCAACACAGTCAGCCCCGTCCGCGCAAGCCAAGAAGGAGACTGGCACAAAACCAGGGTCCTGCTTCAACTGTGGCGAGCTTGGCCACTTCGCTGACAAATGCCCGAAGCCCAGGCATACCGGGCCAAGGTTTGTCCAGGCTCGCGTCAACCATGCGTCCGCAGAGGAGGCACAAGCAGCACCAGAGGTCGTACTGGGTACGTTTCCTGTTAACTCAATCCCTGCAACAGTACTTTTTGATTCTGGTGCAACGCATTCGTTCATTTCAAAGAAGTTTGTCGGGGTGCATGGGTTAATAAGAGAGGAACTTAGCACACCCATGCGGGTTCATACCCCAGGGAATAGCTCCACTTCGGTACAATTCAGCCCTTCTATAACAATAGAAATTCAAAAATCACCATTCCTAGCCAACCTCATTCTTCTTGATTCCAAAGACCTAGATGTCATTCTGGGGATGGATTGGCTGACCAAGTTCAAGGGAGTCATTGATTGTGCGAATCGCACAGTCACTTTGACCAACGAGAAGGGAGAAACCGTAGTGTACAAATCATTAGTCTCACCAAAGCAAGGGGTCTCCTTGAATCAGATTGAGGCGGAAATCCCAGTGGTCACTAAGGAGAAGAGTTCGAGGAAATTGGAAGAGATTCCCATAGTTTGCGAGTAACCAGAAGTGTTTCCCGAAGACCTCACTACCATGCCACCCAAGCGAGAGATTGAATTCCGGATTGATTTGGCACCGGGAACCGCACCAATTTACAAGAGACCGTACAGGATGGCGGCCAACGAACTAGCAAAGGTCAAGAAGCAGGTTGATGAGCAGCTGCAGAAAGGGTACATACGACCAAGTACTTCACCTTGGGGTGCTCCGGTCATTTTTGTGGAGAAAAAGGATAAGACGAAGAGGATGTGCGTTGATTATCGCGCACTCAATGAGGTCACAATCAAGAATAAATATCCTTTACCGCGGATCGATGATTTGTTTGATCAACTGAAGGGAGCTAAGGTGTTCTCTAAGATAGACCTGCGATCAGGCTACCACCAGTTAAGAATCCGGGAAGAGGATATTCCAAAGACGGCTTTCACCACTCGGTACGGGCTGTATGAGTGCACGGTTATGTCTTTTGGACTTACCAACGCACCCGCATTCTTCATGAATCTAATGAACAAAGTGTTCATGGAGTTTCTGGACAAGTTTGTTGTGGTATTCATCGACGACATACTTATCTACTCAAAGTCCGAAGAAGAACATGAGCATCATCTCCGTCTGGTACTCGAGAAGTTGAAGGAGCACCAGTTATACGCCAAGTTCAGCAAGTGTGACTTCTGGTTGACGGAAGTCAAATTTCTGGGCCATGTTATTACAGCTCAGGGTGTGGCCGTCGACCCATCCAACATGGAGTCGGTTACCAAATGGACCCCACCGAAGACCGTGTCGCAGATTCGAAGTTTTCTTGGACTTGCGGGTTATTACCGCCGTTTCATCGAGAACTTCTCTAGGATCGCCCGACCCATGACTCAGTTGCTTAAGAAAGATGAGAAGTTCAAATGGACAGCTGAGTGCGATAAGAGCTTTGAGGAGCTCAAGAAGAAATTAGTATCCGCACCAGTTTTGATTCTGCCCAACCAGATGAAAGACTTCCAAGTCTATTGCGACACATCCCGCCACGGGCTTGGGTGTGTTCTAATGCAGGAAGGCAGAGTGGTGGCGTATGCCTCACGACAGCTGCGTCCACACGAAGGGAATTATCCAACCCATGATCTGGAACTGGCAGCAGTGGTTCATGCCTTGAAGATCTGGAGGCACTATTTGATTGGCAACCGTTGTGAAGTATATACGGATCACAAGAGTCTGAAATACATCTTCACCCAACCGGACCTAAATCTCCTACAACGAAGATGGTTGGAATTAATCAAAGACTATGATATGAGCATTCACTACCACCCGGGGAAAGCCAATGTGGTGGCAGACGCATTAAGCAGGAAAAGTTACTGCACTGCTCTATGCATCGAGGGCATGTGTGAGGAATTGCGGCAGGAGTTGGAGCATCTCAACGTGGGAATTGTTGAACACGGGTTCGTAGCCGCTCTGGAAGCACGGCCTACGCTCGTCGATCAAGTTAGAGCCACTCAAGTAAATGATCCGGAAATAGCAGAGCTGAAAAAGAACATGAGAGTCGGAAAGGCTCGGGATTTCCTTGAGGATGAGCATGGCACAATCTGGATGGGGGAAAGATTGTGTGTACCTGACAACAAGGAGCTGAAGGATCTGGTACTCACCGAGGCCCATCAGACACAGTATTACATTCACCCAGGCAGCACCAAGATGTACCAAGACCTTAAAGAAAAATTTTGGTGGGTCAGCATGAGAAGGGAAATAGCCGAATTCGTCGCACTCTGCGATGTTTGCCAGCGAGTGAAGGCAGAGCATCAAAGGCCAGCAGGCTTACTCTAACCTCTTCAAATCCCGGAATAGAAATGGGAGGAAATTGGAATGGACTTTATAACAGGACTGCCCCGGACATCATCGGGTCACGATTCAATCTGGGTAGTCGTGGATCGACTCACCAAGGTGGCTCACTTTATACCAGTACATACCACCTATACGGGAAAGAGATTGGCAGAATTGTACCTCGCAAGGATCATGTGTTTGCATGGGGTACCCAAGAAGATAGTATCTGACCGAGGTAGTCAGTTCACCTCAAAATTTTGGCAGAAACTGCAAGAAGAATTGGGGACCCGTTTAAATTTCAGTACCGCCTACCATCCGTAGACAGATGGTCAGACCGAGCGAGTCAATCAAATTTTGGAAGACATGTTGAGAGCTTGCGCTCTTGACTTTGGTGGAGCTTGGGACAGATGTTTGCCATATGCGGAATTCTCGTACAACAACAGCTACCAAGCCAGTCTACAGATGGCACCGTTCGAAGCTTTATACGGCCGGAAGTGCCACACACCTCTCTTCTGGGATCAGACAGGCGAGCGTCAATTGTTCGGGACAGAGGTATTAACGGAAGCAGAAGAGAAAGTCAGAACCATCAGGGAAAGGTTGAGAATTGCCCAGTCTCGACAGAAGAGCTACGCGGATAACCGCCGAAGAGAGCTCACTTTTGAAGCAGGGGATTATGTGTATCTTTGGGTTACTCCGCTCCGGGGAGTGCACCGTTTTCAAACCAAAGGCAAGTTGGCACCATGTTTCGTGGGACCCTACAAAATCTTGGAACGAAGGGGAGAAGTTGCTTATCAGTTAGAACTTCCATCCAATATGATCGGCATCCATGATGTATTCCACGTGTCCCAATTAAAGAAGTGCTTAAGAGTACTTGAAGAACAGGCTGATTCGGAACACATTGATATCCAGGAGGACCTGACATATGTGGAGAAGCTGATTCGTATACTTGATACCAGCGAAAGAAGAACCAGAAACAAGGTCACCAGGTTTTGCCGAGTTCAGTGGAGTCACCATTCAGAAGAGGAAGCAACCTGGGAAAGGGAAGATGAGTTGAAAGCCGCCCATCCGCACCTCTTCGCCAGCTCCTCCGAATCTCGGGGCCGAGATTCCGTTTAAGGGGGGTAGGTTTGTCACACCCTGAGTTCTCCTCCTTAGCCTAAAATCGAATTAATAAGAGACCCTAAGAAAATACCGGTGCAAAGCAAGAGTTAACCCTATTAAATCAATGCAAATAATAATCGGAATTGGCATGTGGAATTTTTCTTGAGTTCTACATGTCGAAATTCACTAACAAGATTTTTAGTGGAATTTTCAGAGCTCTCGAAATAATTTTAACCAATTAAAATCGAGCATGCAATATTTTAAATCCCAGGGAAATTCTTTTCCTCCTTTTCTTTTTCCTTTTCCCTCCTTTTCCTCTCCTTGGGCCGTCGGCCCAGTCCACCCCGCCGCGCGCGCGCCCTCCTCCTTGTGGGCCGGCCCAAGCCGCCCCTCCCTCTCTCCCCGGGACGCCGACAGGTGGGCCCCACCTGTCGGGCCCGTCTCCTTCCTCCAGCTGGCGCCGCCGCGCCCGCAACCGCCACCGCGCCCACGCCTCCACCTTCTCCGGGCCGCGTTGGCCACGCCCGCGCGTGCGCCGCATCTCCCGCACCCACTTCCCCCTCTCTAGCGCTCGCGCCCGCGCCCGAGATGGCCGGGATTCGATTTTCGAATCCCGCCTCTCTCTCCTCCCCCACTCCCCACGTTGGCCGGCAAAATCTCGCCCCTACCGGCCACGTCCGGGACTCCCCTCCCCTATTTAAGCTTCCCCGTCGCCCCCTCTCGCTTTTTCCCCATCTCGCCGAACTCCCTCGTGCCCCCCATCGCTCCCGCGCCGTGCAACCACCCGTTGCCGCCGTTTCCGCTACTCCGGCCGCCGCTAGCCGCCGCTAGGGTCGCCGCCGCACCGCGCCGTCGCTGCCGTCGGGTTTGCGAGGCTAAGCTCCACCCCGGCCACCCCTTCCCCGTCCGGATTCATCGCCGGAATTCGCATCCCCTCGCGCTCCGGTGAGTTCAACCTCTACCGCTGCCTTCGGCCATAAATGCCGGTCGCCGTGGTTCATCTCCCTCCCTCTAATCTCTCTCTTCTCCTTCCTTAGGGCACCCCGAATCCCGTCCGTCGGTTGCCGTCGTCCTCCCGTGGCTCGTCGTCGCCGTTCGCCGTCGTCTTCCTCCGCGCCGGCCACCCTTGGTGAGGCATCCCTCCCCTCTTTTCCCCTTCCTCCCCTCCTAGTGCCGCGCCGCCGCTTCAAGTCGCGCGCCGTCGCCTTCGGTCGCCGCCGCCGCCTCCCGTGCCGCCGGTCGCCGCCGCCGTCGGCCGCGTGCGTCGCCGCTAGCCCTGGCCGGCCGGTTGGCTTTGATGCCGAGCCGAGCCCGGCGGCCGCCTCTATCGCCGCCCGTCCGATCGGCCCCGAGGGCGATCTGGGCCATCGGTCCCGTGGACCGGCGGTGGACCACCCGTGTGGTCCCGGTCCACGGTGAACCGCCCCCCCTTGAGTCGCTGACCAGTGGGGCCCGCCTGTCGGCGCCGCGCCTCCCCCCGTGCTGACGTCAGCCCTGGAAAATATTGCGCAATAAATTATTTAAGGATTTTTGTTATAGTAATAAACACAGTGAATCTTCTAAAATTCATAACTAATTCATCCGAGCTCCGTTTAAGCCCATTCAAGTCTCAGTAAATCAAGAAAAATGTGTAGAATCCATTAAAAATGGTTTTGTTCTCTGTTTCAGTAGTCTTATAGCCTGTTTGCATTGTTTGCCTTGTATGTCGCTAGATTCCGGCTCTTCCGACGCTCCGGTGTATTTTGAAATAGTCGCCGAGGTTCCTCCAGCAGCAGAGCAAGGCAAGTCATGCTTGTCACTTGATCATGTTGATCCTATATTGCAAATGTCCTAATGTTTTCTTTCAAATACCGCATTTGTTTTGCAATTATACTATGGGATGATTACCTATTGTTACAGCCATGCTTTTTGGATACCATGCTCCTTTGTTAGCTTGGGTTATAACATGATTAGACTTTGGACTAGGAATTGCTTAGCCATGCTTAGTTCAACTAGCACACAATGGGGAAATCTCATTTAAAACCTAGACTATAGGTTTATATGATAATGTTGGATTAGTACCACCGCTCTGGTGTTGGTTAAATAAAATGAATCACATGGTGGGCTGTGGGTGCATGGTTTTGCTAGTCGCGCCCATGGCAATTAAGGACCGGTTCGCGGGAAACCCTGGAAGAACTTATCGTACTTACCACAAGCCAGCGTGGGCAACGGCTGGGCTTGTAGTGTAGCTTTTCTCTAGCTGACGCATCCAGGCAAGGGTGGGCGTGATGGAGCGGGGCGGGCCCTGCGACGGCCTCTGTCGCTTCCAGATTCATCTAGGCACGAGAGGGGACTGCCCGTTGCCCGCTGGGAACGGGGGTGAAACCTGAGGTGTGGTGTGCTTGGCTAGAGGGGGTTATGCGAAGGGTCCTGTCACGGCCTCTTTCCGGTATGTCGTGGTGGCATGTCGACGCACGGAAACGTGTCGTGGGGCTGTGTCTTGTGGGTACAGTTGTACACCTCTGATCAGAGTAAAACTATTCGAATAGCCGTGCCCGCGGTTATGGGCGGTCAACCAGACTCACCGTGATTAGACTCACCTTAGTTTAGTCTAATGAAATTGGATGGTATAGGTGGATGGTTGGGCCTGTTGCAACGTGGTGTAACGTTGGATAGTGGATGATTAATACTGCTTAATTATTACAACTGTTTTCGCATTCAATTCCTGTTTATAAATGCCAGTATTTATGCAAATGAACCTGTTTAGCTATCCCTTGTTGAATCCCTGCATCATACCCCCCTTTCCGGTATGACTTGCTGAGTACAGTGGATAGTACTCAGCCTTGCTCTATTTTCCCCCAATCCCAGAGCTCGAGTGTGTATCCGATGGCGGGTTCTCCGAGGAGTAGGCTTCGTCCGTGCCGTCGAGGATGCCTGTGGAGTGGTGTTCCCGCTACAGTTCAAGTCAAGGATTAGCTCCGGTTATCTTTTGTTTTTCCGCTGCATTTATGTAAGACTTTTATAATGTTTGTAAGACGTGGATCTGTATGTCAACATTGTCGTTTGTGTACCCCGGCCGGTCCTGGACGGGGGTTTTAATGCACATTCTGCTTGGAATTCTATTCGGGAATTTCTGGGCGTGACATTATATGTGCACGATACCTTTCGGCGCATGCACGACTACTTTCTGCCGCACCGATGCAGCCTCTTTTATTCGCGTGCGATACGAGTATTTGCCCGCCATTTGCCGCATACGACCAATGTAACTTTCGGCGCCGATCAGGCGTACCCACCATGCCCCGCCACGTTCACATGTCAGGGATATCACTCGATTTTTTGCGCCTATATAAGTCACCTTAACGAGTGAGGCCTCACAGTCTTTCAGAACTCAGTCACATTCAGTACTCTCTTCCCCACTTGCTTCATTACAAATCCTACCGGCTTTCGTCAATGGCTAGACGCCGGGGTGTTGAGGATCCGAACTGGCGTAGCGATTCTTGTGTATACCTACTACCACATTGGTGCCAGCGTCCTCTCTGCCTATGCGGTGATCGATGCCAACTAATGGCTTCGAGGAATCCTGATATTCGAGGAAGGCGCTTTTTTAGGTGCCCTAACTATGACCGTGAGGTATTTTATTATCTGCATATGCTTATTCATTCCGTATGGGCAATCGCTTTATTCTTCGTAACACTACTCTATTCGGCAGACCCGCACTACGGCTTGCGCATACATCGAGTGGGTCGATACAGAAAATCCCGTTTTCGACCTAACCACTTGTTTACAAGAAGGTCGCTGGTATTTCGCATCCGAAAGTACTGAGCAATACTTACAGAGAAAAGCGGCTTATGAACGACAATGTCGTGAACAACAGAGCGACTGGCGGGTGCTAACTACGGCACTCCCTCCATGGGAAGCCCGTCCAAGATGCAGGTGTGGTGATCGTTGTCAGGTTCTTCGTTCCATAAAGCCTACAACATTGGGTCGAAGGTTCTTTGTTTGTCCAAATATTCTTGACGACGATTTCATGGTAAGAATATTTTGATTACATGAATCCTTATTTTCTCACAATATTTACTAACTTTGCTCGCTTTACATCTATTCTTTCCTCCTAGGAACCACCAAGGAGATGTCAATACAAAGAATGGATAGACACCAGAAGGGTTCTAACTCCACCTTGCCGTGTTGTGTAGCTTGAACTACCAGAGCAATACAGGGTTACTAAAGCGCGTTTTGAGAGAGGAGAGGGATACTCACGTAGGGGTTAGCTATTATCGGACAACTTGGCATATTGAAATTTCTACTGTCATGCTTCCTTGTCCCATTACTACATCGTCGTTGTGTTCAACTATTGCACTACCTCCCTCCTAGTTCAAATCTAATATCATATATGTAACCGCAATGGAAATAGTTGTATCATGTTCAAATTGTACTACTATTTCTTCATGTTACATAATTCTCCTTGTTTAAGTCCATATAATGTTTCTACAACCGAGACTGCGATAGGCCTATTAATTATCCGAGTACTAATACGTCGAATAAGTTACAAAATAATACCTTCCTTAACATATGAAATTGCGAAACAACCAACTTCAATACATTTTTATAACAATATTAACAAGTTTTACCAATAAATACTTCTTTATTTATTATTAACATAAAATAGAAAAATCGTTTGGCCGTACTTTTTGCATCTGGGTCCCTTGCCGCCCTCTACTGGGGCAGCAAGGGGCCCAAATGCAAAAAGTACGAGCGCAACCTCTTTATGGGCGGCAAAAATTGCAATTAGCCCCTTGCCGCCCTCTGGGGGTAATTGCAATTTTGGCCGACGGCGGCAGACGGCACGGTCGACCCGCCGTCTGCCACGTCAGCTTGCCGCCCACCACTGGGGCGGCAGGGTCTATTTTTGTATTTTTTTTGGCCGATAGATTATTTCTGTAAATATTAAAAAAAATCTAAAAATGAAAAAAATTCGTGCTACACTGCTACTGCTCCGGTGCTCCCTCATCTCCTTCTCGATTCTTCTGCTCCTCCACCGAGAGCGGGGCGAGCAGGCGAGGCCACACGATTCTCCTCTCCCTTGCCGCTTCCAACACCAAGTCTCGCCGTGGCCAGGACTGAGCTAGGGTTTGCGTGATCTTCGGGAGGAGGGAGCAGGAGAGAGTTCGAGGAGGAGGAGGAGGAGGAGAAGATGATCGAGGTGGTGCTGAACGACCGGCTGGGGAAGAAGGTGCGGGTGAAGTGCAACGAGGACGACACCATCGGCGACCTCAAGAAGCTGGTGGCGGCGCAGACCGGGACGAGGCCCGAGAAGATCCGCATCCAGAAGTGGTACAACATCTACAAGGACCACATCACCCTCAGGGACTACGAGATCCACGACGGGATGGGCCTCGAGCTCTACTACAACTAGACACCGTGCCTCTGGTAATTTCAATTTTTCAGTTCTTGTTTGGCCCTTCCTTTGATGCTAGGTAAGGTTCTTGGTTGATCAAATAGTGTTGTGGATTGAGAATTGAGGACTAGGTACGCTTAATTTTGACTAGGAATCATGAATTGGGCGGCCTTTATTTGGGTATCAAATGTTCCGCTTTGGCCAATTGATTAGGATGATTCTTTCTGGTGTTGTAGTCATTCGTGTCCTCATCATTTGTCGAATAGAGGGATATGATGAATTCTCGCATGCTGACTGATTACTGGCGACGTAATTAGGAGGATTAATTGTGCGCTCCTGTAATTCTACATTCTTTGGTTCCAATGTAAGTTGTGGGTCAATCAACTAGACATTGATGACTGGATATTTGCTGGTACTGTTAGCTACAAAATGGGTCTAGATTATTTTATGATGTTTCATGTTTGTAATGACCCCTGGCAAATTGTGTTGTATTCATTGGTGTCCCCAATTTCCCCTCTTGTTATCTTTGTCAACTGTTGGTTGGGTTTTAGCTTTGTGGCTTTAGAAATTTGTGAGGATATGCTCAACACCGTGTGGTGCCTTCCCCCTCCCAGCCTGTATTTAGAGATTTCACTAATTCAGTCATTTAGTGCATTTTCCAATGCATAGCATTTGTTTCTTGTTTGAATGCATTAGAATATCGAGATTGGCAGGTTAATTAGGGTGTAATTTGAGAATCTCTTGGGACCTGAGTTAGTATAGGGTTGTCTTGGTTTGTTGGCTAGTTATGATTAATATGAATGAACATGTAAGTATGTAACCATGTGCCATAAATATGATGTCCAGGAAAGGAAAATCCTGGTAGCCGGTACATTCAGTACTGGAAAAAAAAATCTGATTTGCAAGTTTTGCTGTTCAGTTATTGTACTTACATTAGCTTTTTTATGTTGCATAAGACAGAGGTGCAGGCTGAAAACCATAGAAGCAAGCATCCTCCTATTTTATTATGTTGTATCCTTATAATTTCAAATAGTTTCATCTGTTTTTGGTGTTGTCGGTTGTGGCCAGTCACTCATACATCATTATTTTATCACATATTCAGTTGTTCATGCATTGCGAGTTGTCTAGTTGTTGATATTGGAAATTGTAGCTAAACGCACTGTGGATAAAATAGTTTGATTAGTGGTGTTATTCTTGTGTTGATGGTCGCATTATCCTTCATATTCCTGTGATGATGTTTAAACCTATAGTTTCCATTCCTTTGGCATGTAATGGGTTAGCATCGATATGCCAAAGTAACTTGTTGAACTTTGAGCATGGACACAAAAAAACCTGGCATATAGGCGTTTAAGAAATTGCTTTGTCCTTTTCTGTAGCAGCATGCTAGTATTGACTGGATATAGCTGAATGGTTATATGGATGAAGCAGTTAGCATTTGATCACATGTATAATGATCACACCTGAGGCCTGACAAATCTGGTTTTCCACTGGCTGCATCATAGCTTGTGTTAGTTACTGGAGAAAGATCTGAAAAAACGAACCACACTTGTTGCTGATTTTGTTCAACGAAAGTGTTCTCTATGGACTGCGGAGCAGAACAATTTATACAAATGGGCTAGTTGGTGAATGCTTGAATTCAAGTATGCCACATTGAACAATAAACTGGAGATGCACTCCTACCTGATATTGATATGTATAAGTATATGGACTGTTTGTTTTGTTCCCCTATCTAGAATTATTCACTTTTATGCTTCTATTGTTGTAGGAAAGGCTAAATCAACTTTGGTATGCAAGTATGATACCAGGGAAACCACAAACCATTTCACATGTTACTGTTAGCATGTTTTTTTTTTTTTTGCTGAGACGTGTGATTATATGCTTTTGTATTTGTTTTTTTTATCTCAACTAATATTTGTTCAACTGCAATGCAGGCTGGTCTGAATTCTAGTCTCATGGATGGCGATCTGTTGATTATATATGCCCATTTGAGCGGCCAGCGTCCGTAGCTCATATATAAAACTCTAGTGAGCTGTGTAGTTCGTTGTGCCTATGACTGTTAACTTCGAATATGTCGTTGTAGTATGATCAACCAGCAGATGTGTTGTATTTGAGGTTCTGCTACTCTCATAACATAAATAACATGTTATGAAACTTTGATCAAGTCTCAGTATCCTGCTCGTCCTAGTCTTCTTACTCCATCTGGCGTGCATTGCAACTTGGATTCTGATTAACTGTCTGCTACTCTTGAAAGCTGCACTCGACTGCTGCAGCTGAGCGCAAAAGGATCTTAACGATTAAACCTTGCTTCGAGCACCCAGAACAGCAGTAGTACGGGTTGAGCCAGGGAGGAAACCCAGATGTAGTCCGATTCTAGTTCAATTTGCAGCCCAAGTTTCAGCAGTTTTTGATCGATTTTGCTAGCTCCAGTGATCGCAGAGATATATTTTCGGCGGTGTGCAGGCAGAAAACGGCAAACTGCTCTACCGTTTCCACTCGCGGGAGGCCGGGTGCCGGGTGCCGTGCACCGCATCCTCCTCCCGCTCGCGATTTCGCAAACCAAACCCAAACCGCGGGAGAGAGAGCAGCAAAACCACCCAAATCCCCAATTCCGACCCCAAATCGCACAGAAACCCTCCCCATGGCGGACGCCGCCGCCGACGACGATGCGCCTCCCTCCCCACCCCCTTCCGCGTTCCACCCCGCGTCCGCCGATACCCCCATGTCCGACGCCACCCCATCCGCCGCCGATACCCCAAATCTCCCCGACACCCCCGCCTCCGCCTCCGCCGAACCCGAGACCCCCTTCTCCGACGCCGCGCTCGCCGATGCATCCGATGCTGATGCCTCGGGCGTCGCCGCGCCACCCGACGACGACGGGACCAACCCGTTGGGCGGCGCCATGAAGCACATGGCCCTCGCGCCCCCGGCGCCGCCGAGCAAGAAGTCCAAGAAGAAGAACAGCAACAGCGTCTGGACCAGGCCCAACTCCCGCAAGGGCAAGAAGAAGGCCAAGCAGCCGGCCAACGCCCTCGCCGGCGGCAGCGGCGGCGCCAACGGCCGCCTCCCCAAGCCCTCCAGCGGCGAGGATGAGCTCGTCCTCACCCCGGCGCCCCGATTCGCCGCCGAGCGCAACGACGACGCGCCCGATCGGCCCGTGCTCCTCTCCCGCGTCTTCAAGTCCGACAAGGTCGAGGTCTCCGACGACCGCCTCACCGCCGGCAGCACAAAGGGCTACCGGATGGTGCGCGCCACCCGCGGCGTCGCTGCCGGCGCTTGGTACTTCGAGGTCAAGGTCCTTCACCTCGGCAGCACCGGCCACACCCGCCTTGGATGGGCTACCAACAATGCTGACATCCACGCACCCGTTGGCTACGATGTGTTTGGATTCGGATACCGCGACATGGATGGCACCAAGGTGCACAAGGCATGGAGGGCCAATTACGCTGAGCAAGGCTATGGCGATGGCGATGTCCTCGGCTTCTACATTCATCTTCCTGACGGGGAGCTGTATGAGCCCAAGCAGCCCTTCCTGGTTCACTACAAGGGGCTTCCTTTCCGCGCAGAAGCTCCCAAGGCGGCTGAGCAGAAGACGCCGGATCCAGTTCCTGGTCAGTACCATACTACCATTGTGTTTGACTCTACACTTTTCAATAGACTAGTGGTAGATTGTCAGCCAGGAAAACAACAAATGCTATTTTTCATGAAACAACTTGGTATGAACTAGCAATTTCACAGATAAAATTCTGTGTAATAACAAGGATGCAGGTTTCATGATGTTATATGCAATACTTGGCATAATGTAGAATTTGTACCAATTACGGAATTACCAGTAGTAGATTTTCATTTTAAAGTGATTTAGGATTCAGGATTTAGGATCCTGTTCCTGGTGAGTGCCACCGGTGTTACTTCATGTGTTTTAGTGGACTAGTTGCAGATCACCGTGCTAGGAAAATAACACATGCTATGTTTCACAAAACAAATGGGTATGAACTAGCTATTTCACAAATAACATTCTGTACATAATAACAAGGGTGCACATCTGATGACGTTATATGCAATACTGTGTGCCAATTACCAATGGCAGAATTGCATAAAAAAATAAGTGATTTAGGTTTTAGGCAGTGTTTTTATAGATGCATGGTTATACAACAAACATTACAACTTCCAATGGTTAAAGGGTGATAGTAGTGCACTTGTCCTTACAAAACTGAAAAGTACAGCTAATAAGCTTCATCGGTCTTTTGCATTCTGTATTGCTCAGTTTCACGAGTTTGTAGTAAATATCTCAATCCCATTGGTCAGCTTGGGGGGATTGTTTTGATGTTTCCTATTCAACCTTTGAGAAAATTCTTGATCCCTGTTTGGACACAAGGTTACCTACATGTGTGTCAGTAGTCACTATATCTCAATTGCACAAACTAGATAGTTTTCACTCACTTCTCTTGAAATCATTTCCAAAGCATAGTGTTCTGTACCAAGAAATATAGTTATTGCATATCTTCATCTGTATTATTGGAGGCGCTTAGTGCAGAAGCATAATGCCATAATATGGTAATGGTGAGTGCAACATACAGTTCATAAGTCAAAATGTACACCAGGAAAGCAAAGGAAGCAGCTTATGTTACTTGAGTGATGCTATCTTGAGAATGTAAACCAGAAAAGCAAAGGAAGCACAACATGAAAATGTAACGATTTGCTTCTGCAGCAGCCTTACAATATGCATAACTTATTAATTTGCCACTCAATCAAAGACAAGAAATATCCATGAAATGTAACAAAATTTACCTCATTGTCCTGTTCAAGAGTATCTATATCTTCATCTGACGATACATTCTATAATATTTATACTGAACTATAAATACTTATATTTTTCCGTTCTGTGATTTGTCTACATCACAAGTACAACATAAGATACTGTACTAATCCTGATCTCAAGGTCTCCCTCCTACATCAAAGAGGTTACCTTGGGTGTTTTTACTTATCCAGTCAACATTCCACCTTATCTTGCATTATATTATGCCTACTTGAATATGAAAGACACTACAGTAAGATTTTAGTTGCCACAAAGGCACTAATTGAAAAGTTTCAATATTAGATATTCAGTGCAGGTATCCTGTAATAGGTGCACATTAATATCTTCCACTAGATCTCTCTGTCTTGCCTACATGGTCTTTTTTGTTTAAACAGAAAAGGGGTTACTTGTTTGTTTTTCGCATACAAAGTCAGGGTCCTAACAATGATTGTTTTGCAAAGTTGCACTATATGACACTTCCTACTTTGTAGCATCCATTGTTTTATCTGTTCAACCTCTCACTGGTTTTTCATCAAATAATCCATTTTGCAAATGCAGGTAGCGAGATATGCTACTTCAAGAATGGGATATGCCAGGGCACTGCTTTTGTGGACATTCCTGGAGGGCGGTACTACCCAGCTGCGTCAATGTATACACTGCCTGACCAACCAAACTGTCAAGTCAGGTTCAACTTTGGTCCCAATTTTGAGTTCTTCCCAGAAGATTTTGGAGGTCGATTGATTCCTCGACCAATGAGTGACGTGCCTTATAGACCATTTGAGCTGGCGAATGGCGGGCCTGCTGAAAATGGTACTGCTGAAAAAAACATTTAACTGCAGTGAAAATTCTGCTTTAGTTATGTAGAATAGAGCATAATCATGTAATCCGGTTAAAGAGCGCGCAGGCTGATTGGTTAGTTTGTCTGGTTATTAAATATTTTATCACCTGAGGTTCTTCTGGTTTGGCCATTTGACCTTCGTGTAGCAACGCATGGCTTCAATCTTTCCCATCAACGCATGGCTTTAATACTGTTAACACAAGATTTCGTCAATAATGTTTGACAGAATCTGATACGTCAAATATTTATGACACGCGCGGTCCGCTCTGTGTGTGTATCTGATACGTCAAATATTTGTGGCAATACAAGGATAACAGCATTTATGCTTGACGATACTCAATCTGGGCTTCTGGGGTAGCCAGGTAGTTTGGAGAACCTTTGAAGAAAAATATATCGAAATAGCAATATCATAAATGATAACATTTTGGACACCGGTGCAGTCTCCAAGTAAAGAAACACAATGTTTGCAAAGCACCGGACCCTTAATTTTCAATGTTTCATATCTTAATCTTAAATAAACAAATACAACAACCAGCTTCATCATTCTGCGAGATAACAGTGTTGAGCTTGAAGACAAGTGATTTTCAAACATAAATATGGAATTTGAAAAGCCTATGCTGAAGCACACTCACAAATTACAAAGTAACAGGTGACTTTTTGCATAGTTTTAAATGCATGTACATACCAACATGAGAGAAATAACTTCAACTTGAGTGCCATTTGATTTTCAGATGGCTACAGGCCAGATCGTTTTTCACTCTGCTCAATGCCATATCTCGATGCTGCAGCAATGAGGTCATGCTAGGTTCACTCCTTTTGCGTGCCATTTTCCGGGAGATGTTCTTCCATTTTGATTCAAATTCACAGGCTGCACACAAATAATTCAGTAAATAGGAATTCTTACGTAGTAGTGCAAACTTGAAAAGGGAAACATTCATTTCATTTCGATGCAAAAGATGCAGATGGCACCTGAGTATCTAAAGCACATAGACAATGTTAATGTTTCTCTGTGCAGAAAAAGAGGTAACAATAACTAAATGTTTCTTTATGCCAAAGAGTCAATGAACATAGAAACCTTGATGAAACACTAATTATATAATACTAAACAAAACAAGAAAAGAAGTGACCAGTACAGACAGTCATGTTGTCAAATTGTTTTGGTATGGCTAAATAAACATAGCTTCCTAGGGTAACATGTCAGAAAAGTACCAACCTATGATACAAAATAATTTCAGAAAAAATGAAATGACTCCCTAAATCAAGTGAAAACTGGAAAGGAAAAGTTGCACTTACAAGCTAGAGCACTATATGGCTATACGCAATTCTAGTAACATCTCAACCAAGTCTGAAGCTGTTGGAAAATGATGGTTACAATCAATAACCTTCACTTCTGTTGACAAATCCTTCAATAAGGCATGCGAGATTCCATGGCCTTCCAGCAGAGGAAGCTTTGGCACCACCTTTTAACTCACCATTATGTTGTCTCAGGCTAGAAATAATAAAAATACTTTCATCAACACACGATTACCATTTCAACGTGGTACGACTAAAGATGTACTTTCTTTGTTTCATAATGTAAGACTTTCTAGCATTGTCCACATTCGTATAGATGTTAATGAATCTAGGCATATATATGTGTCTATATTCATTAACTTCTATATGAATATGGGCAATGCTAGAAAGTCTTACAATCTGAAATGGAGGGAGTATAAATTTACTTCTCATCTTTGTACTTTCTAAGTTCTAACCATGTTAAGTGCTATGTATTCCAACAAGAACCGATGATCAACACACAAAAAAAAACCCCATATATTGAAGCATGTATACAAGCCTGCCTGAGCAAGACAACTACGAGTAGAATATTTCAAGGCAACTACAATTTTATACACGAATAAAAGGACAAGCTTTGGTATGCCCAACGAGTAACACAGTTCTGCTTGTAAATCACAGCGTCATAAATTGAAGATAGGTAGAAACAAGAGCAGGCAACAGCTTATTCAGTAGAAAATATTATGCATGTTTAACATACATTGCTAAAAGTAGAACAAATTAAGGTTTAATCCATGCTCATTTTTTTTTGAAAGGAATCAATCCATGTTCAATTATCTTCACTAAAGGGACTGAACAATAACCTGAGCTTCATTTGTTTTCCCAAGTCCTAAAAAAGTACTAAATATATGAAAATCGCAAGGATTTCAGTCCAATTGTCATCCGAATCATGTAACTTTCAGGCCTAATATCACATCTCATAGTGTTAACAAAACAATAGCGATAAATTGGGGGCAGTATTTCAATCACTAACTGGCGGAGCCACCATAACCCACAGAATCTTCTGAAACAGCTCTAGAAACAGTGAATCAAAGGGATTCGGGGAATCACCGGCGAGGGAAATCGGTGGTGACGCCGACGTAGGTGCGGGAGATCCGGGAGGAGGCGATGAGGTAGACGCACCAGCCCAACGCCGCCTTCCCCTTCGCGGCCTCCGCCGACGGATTCCCGGGCGCGCACGAGGCCGAGGCCAAGGCGGCGGCGGCGGGCTCGCCGGATTTGGGAGGAAGAGCGCGAGGGATCTTCGCCGATCGGAAGGTAGCGGAGAGATTCATCTCCCACCTCGCCGGCGGAGGCGACGACGCCGTGGGGAAATTTTCGAATTGGGCTATTTTTAGCACGTGAGTTTTAGAGGGCCGTGGGGCGTGTTGGACATGGGCCGAATGGACAAATGGGCCGTACCGAAATGTGAGCCTAATTCGACACGGCCATTTTAAGCCTGGAAAACGTGGATTTTTTCATTTTTAAATTTATTTTTTTAATATTTACAGAAATATTATATCGGCAAAAAGATTTACAAAAATAGACCCTACCGCCCTCTATTTGCGCGGCAAGCTGACGTGGCACATGGACACATGACAGTCGTTTTGGGAAGCTATGAATTTTGCACGTGGCCCCCTTGCCGCCCTCTGTCTAGGCGGCAAGGGGCCACCGTGCAAAATTCGTAAGGGCAACAAGGGGCTCAGATGCAAAAAGAACTAGCCAATTGCTTTTTTGGCAGGGCCAAAATCACATTTAGCCCCTTGCCGCCCTTACAGAGAGCTGCAAGGGGCTTAGCGTAAAATGCGCACAAGTCATGACGCCGTGTGCCACGTCAGCTTGCCGCCCAAATGGAGGGCGGCAAGGTCCATTTTTGTAAATCTTTCCGCTGATATAATATTTCTGTAAATATTAAAAAAATAAATTTAAAAATGAAAAAAAAAAATCAAAAACGTGCGTAGAAAATGAATTCCGGCATGCTTCGCACGTGTGAAAATATGTGATAAATCAGAAATCTACGTGATGGAATTCGGATGATTATATTGCAGAGGTTGCACGTGCCAAATTACCGTGCATATACTAGCTGGGAAATGGCATTCTGGTACGTGTAGGGAGAAGACTCGTTTGTGCCAACTCTGAAGCTGGGGTTTAGGTTGTCATGAAGGGCAAAAGAATTAGGCACTAGGTGAGTGTTAATCAGAGGGTGGTTAGGCAAAGCAACCCTGGAAAGTTTTTCCAAATGTGGAATGCAAACTCGCAGCATGAAAGATAATTGGGCGCTAATTGCCTCTGCATTACAGTGTGAGCATTTTGTGGATGAAACCATACGGATCGTATCCTCGCTGTTCCTCATCCGAGTCTGACACTAAGATGTTCAGTTAACAGGTTGATGTGAAATACTTTTTTCGCGAACGTGCAGAAGGATTGCACGTCAATATATTAGAAGAAAACAATTATAGTTACACAACACAATCAGCCAGACCGGCTTATGCCAGAGGAAGGGAGAAAATGCAAAATAAAAGGCTGAAGCTTAGAAAACTACGGCGGCTAAACACAAACTCCAAACAACGAGAATGGGCCGAGCCACGCTACACTCCTGACAAGTTCCCAAAAGCAGCAATACTAGCTAAAGCCACATATGACCAAGCCACATATGGTTATGTTCCTTCCACAGTTGCCAAGAGACTAGGAGCACCAGGGAGTCGAAGCCAGCGCGGAGATGCTCAGGTAAGCAGGCCCTGGAGGATGGCTACCAGTCCTAGAACCAGTTTTTTCATTCGTGTCCGAAAACCCCTTCCGACATCTGGCTAAATGTCCGATGTGACACCCAAAAATTTTTTTTTTCGCGAACTAAACACACCCTTAGGTGGCATGCACGAAATGAGGGGATATCCCCTCGAGGGATGAAATCACTTTTCCATTTTAAAGGATATGACTTAACGCGTACATTGTCAGAAAATTGGGCATTCGTTGATGTTTTCTCTTTTCATAGTAGAACAAAGCAAATTACCGATTGTTCTGTTATAAAAATGGACAAACTACATATTTTCACCGTTCCAGCTCCCCATTCTTATTCCCTTCTGCACCGGCCAAAACGCTGAACATTACAACTGTCGTTTGTTCATGGCGCTGTAATTCCTAGTACAAATACATTTTTACACCTCTCGCAGGATAAACTATTAGTGGCTTGCATCAGGCGCGCTGCTTCTTGCCACTAGGTAGATCATCATCATAATGCCCACCATCATCCCCTCCATCTTTGTCACCTTTCTTCCTCGCAAGTATCTTGTTAATCTTGTGTAGGTCATTCGTGAGCTTCTGGTCCTTGTTCTGCTTCCTCGTCTTCCTGCCATCCTGCATCTTCACTCCAAACTGGAATGCAGCTTTCGGCATCGCTTCCTTCTGGTCGTTGTATTTGGCCCACTCCTCTTCCGTCTCAAAGTCCCACCTATGAAGACGCCCCTTAGCCTGCAAAGGAATCATAGTATCATACATTAGAATGAATTTGGCAGAGTCAATCAAGGACCATATCATCCTAAGAGATGCAAGGCAGCTACAAGCTTATAGGAGAAATTTGGACTTTTACATCTATGTAATTTGGCAGAGTCAGCCCCAAATTTCTTGGAGAAAGTTACTGTCAGCTATCATAACAATCAGGGCATAGAACCCACTTGGTTTGCAGCCTATGCACACACTTTGGAAATCAAGAAACAGCAGGATTTTTTAAAGATGGCAAACTGGTATTTCAGACATAATTCAACAAATCATCGATGCTCTAGAACTATGGAGTAACCGGGCCAATCCCAACACCAGAGCAAAAATCAATCTCTGGTCTGAGACAATCAGATGAGGTTAATGTAATTTTAGCTTCTTGTAATTTTTTGTATATTTTCCTCCTTCTATCTCCTTTCCCTTTTTTTTCTTTTTTTCCTGCTTCACCTTTCTTCAGGCAACTCTGTAACCGTTCATTTCTATCAATGAAATGGCTATGAGGTAGAGCTGGCTCTACCTTCTTACATAAAAGAAAAATATATTATAACGAATTTGGAAATAGATGGTAAAATATTTTTTAAAAAGTACAGTAAACATGAGCTCAAGAATTCCGCAAAAGCAAGTTATGTCTGCTATTGTGAAGGGAAACAGGAAAAAAAAAGCATTCAGAATACAGTACTCTCACTTACCCGGCCACCCATGTCCATCTTCGACAAATCATCTTCTTCATCGCTGCCTGCAATCTCATGATTATACTCCTGATAACCAGGATAACACTCGGAGTAACTATCTGAGATAAAATTAGGATCTTTCTCCCGTGAATCTTTTTCCCTCAGCTGCTTAAGCCTTTCATCATCACGTTTGAAAACAGAACCAAGACCTCTATCTTTATCTGCTTGAGTCATCAACCTTGGATCCTGGGCTATATTTGGATCAGCTAATACATCATAGTCCTGAGTGCTTTGTTGCATGTACTGTTCTGGATAAGGCATCTGTTGTTCACCATACTGATAGCCTGACCACTCCCCTTGATATCCAGCAGCTACCATTTGAGCTTGAATAGCATCGTATCCATTCTGAAATCATAAGAGGCATTAACTTTTAGGAAATACAGGTCAAGAATAGAACATACTAATAATTAATGGCTATTTCAGTAGAAGGTACAACTATGGGCAAAAAAAAAATTTAGTTTGTCTTGAACATTGGACATGCATAGCTCAAATTTTACTTTAAGCACAATGGAACCGGAGTTACTAAACACTAGCTGGATTACCGTTTGTGGCCAAGCTTGAGCAGGGTCCGATGGTGGGATGGGCCCATAGACAGGTTTCTCTTCAGTGAAATAGGACTGCTTTTGATGGTTATGTGGGGACTCATCCATATCTTCAGAGACAGGGCTATGGCTCATTTCCTTGTTAGGAACAGAATAGTCAACTCCATCTCCAACAAAAATGTCATCTTCATCTGCTCTAGCAACAGGAATAGACTGTTCCTCATTCTTGCTTAAGTTATTATTTCGAGGGGGTGGCGGCGGCGGCATGTCCTTTTGAAATTGATGTTTCAGAGAAGAACCTGTTTGGCCAGGTCTGGCTACCTCATCATAGTCACCACTTGCTAAACTGTTATTCCCTGCAATATAACAAGCATAACAAGAATCAGGATAATCTAATTTCATCGAGCAAAGCAAGTGCAGATATGGATGAGAGAGTACATACATGCAAATACATTAAGTGAACTAATTAATCCGTTCAGAATCTAAAGTAAACGTGTAACATATGGTCATAACTTAAATACCCAAACTTAAATTATTGACAGAAGACTATAAATCAATTGTAACAAGACTCAACCATTGTGGCAAAAAGTACCAAATAATACTTTTCTATTTTTTCACAATGTAAGTGCTCAGCTTCCAAACAAATCATTTTATATTTTCCTGATGTCACTTAGTTTTTCAGTCAACTTCCACTGCACAAAATCCATTTCAATTTTCAAGTAACATACCTTTTGTGTCCCTCTCCTTTTTCTTTTTCTTCAAGACTTTCCCAGATGATCCAAGTCGAAGGTATGACATGATTTTAGCAATCCTATCAAGTACAGAACCATCCACACTGACAGTTACCATCTCCTGCAGAAGCAAGAAGAATACTGAGGAAAATGATAAGTTTCGGGAAACTTCAATGTGGTATATGATGTATTGCCATAATACCTCTGGAACAGCGCAATCAGCTTTGCTCCTGTGAAGAGTTGTTGGGATATCATTGGTAAGTCCATCCTCCTGGTTTCATTAATGAAATTAATTACTCTTCCGCTAAAACCCATAGTTCAAATCAAAGCAGGAATGATGGAAAAAATTATTTGCAAATAGCATCAATCAATAGTACTGGACATGCTACGAGATGATGAGAATAGGTGATGAAACACCATTACTCTTACTCTCAGAAAATCATTTGGAAGGGTGAATCCAGCAAATGAAACCATTAGCATCAAAAATATGATCTAGTGATGAATTCAGACATGTAAGTTGGATTGTGGTCATAATGAAGGTTCTGCATATAGTAATCATTGAAGCTGTGATGCATCACAATCACAATTTAAATGTGCACAACATAAAAATCATTGCAGATATGTAAGCATGTAACAGCAATACTATATAGTCTATTAATATAATATTGGAAGAGTTTTTTTCATCCTTCCTCTCTTTCTTCTCTTGTTTGCATATTGCGAAGTTAATTGAGAGCTTGAGCATGTTGATTACTGTACTCCAGATGATGAGCAGAGAAACAGACAATAATATATCATGAAACATAGGCATGCATCACGCATATTATAAAAGCTG